TTAGTTACGCTTATTGTTTTTAAGAATTTTAGTTTAAAAAATTATTGTATTAAGATACATTTAACACTTGTTATCTTTAAATATTTATTTTTTATCTATCTTTGTACCTTATTTGACAACTACATATTAAATTTTTATATTATTATACTACTTATGTAAAGTTATATAAATATATTTTTCTTTATAAATATTTTTTTCTCAAACAAGTGCGAGTAATGGATACAAAATGGGTATGTGGGTACCCAGATGGTACAGATATGAGAATTAATGTTCATACTAACATAGGTATAAAACTGAGTATGAATATTTTTTTTAAAACGCAAGTATAAGACTGATTATTCATATATCCTACCCATTGTCATCTCTGATTTAATATTATGTGATTTTGGTTAGTAATTATTTTATAAATATAAAAAAATAAAAAATCTTATTTACAGTATAAAGAATTTTTTATTAAAGAAAAAATATTAAATAATTCTCGATTATTTATAAAAATTTTATTATAATTTTATATTAATATAAGTTTAAAAAATTTTATACTCAATTTAAATATTTTATTTAACTTATATTTAGTGAATTATAATTTATTACTTCATTAGTTTTTATATGTAAGTTAAATAAAAAATTTAAATTAAGTGTAAGAATTTTTAAATTTATATTAATATAAAAAAATTATATGTATATATATATATAGGCATTTGATTATCTTTAAATTTATATTAATATAAAAGATCTTTAAGCGCGTTGATTATCTTGAGCACTTTGGAATTTGGAAACTTTGACGAGGCTTTAATCAATATAGGCATAGATGGAGTACCAAAGAAGACTCAACCACATCCAATTGCTAACAGCTAACAGCATAGCCACGTCAACCCACCGCATTACTAGTCCATAGTTTCCCATGTCAAGTTGTCAAATCAAACATTGCATTTGCATCACAAAAAAAACTGCTTGAAATATAAAAAAGTAAATTCTATATTGTCATCATAAAAGAAATTACTTGAATTATACAAAAAATAGATTTTACAGTCCAATAATACATAAAATAATAATTATCATTAATTTTATATTAATAATAATTTTTGTCTAAATAATAAATACTTTATATTAACAGTTATGTTTGAGTCGAATAAGATCACTAACAGATACTAAATTTTTTTTTAATAAAATTATATCCTACTTAAATAAAATTATCTCGGATAGAAAATGTATATAATTAAAAATATAAAGATATCTATAAAATAATCCATTCTGGGTGCAGATAACAGATTTTTATCCACAAGTCAATAGATACTGTAATTTTGCCCCTTTATATAATGTAAACGAAACGGGGTATTGGATTGTGCATGAGGGCATCGTGATCGGGAAGAAGCAACAAGGAAAGGGTATTATTCAAAGAGAAAAAAATGAGCTTCAAGTATTGTTCCATAAGGTCTAAACAACGCAAGTTTGGAATCTCATTCACTGTTCCAGATCGTGTCATTTCGGAAATCAATGACAAAAAGAGAATCATGGGGAAGCATCCTTTGAGGATCACTAGAGTTCCCCCAGAAGGCCCAATTGAATTTCACAAGCTCATGCAAGAGGCAGAAAAAGGGTCCTCACCTTTGACTTTCAAGAAGAACAATAATGGGGTTTCAGATAAGTTGGTCAATCACAAAAGGCCTTACCATAGGAACCGTTTCAATGATTGGTATGTTCAAGTGTTCTATTTTGAGAGTTGTAATCCAACCCAACCTAACTCATAAGGGTAACTCTCACTTTCTTCCACATTCAAGTTCCTTGCCTTGTCTTGCAATTATGTAAGTAAATACTATATATTGATGCCACTAGATTATTATCCTTGTTGTAGTTAAAGCTTTTACATTTTACCTTTTTCGTTTAACCTTTGTCATGGCTTTATAGTTTTTATTAGGGGTGCTTCTATGAATTGTTAGATATGTAAATTTTTATTACTAAAATTTTGATCATGTTATCATCAAATGAGGTTTTTGACAACAAAACACAAGTTGGTTGTAGCGGAAAGAAAATGACAAAATTATCTATGTATTATATTATCCATTTTTGTTTTTAGTTTCCCTTGACAAATATGATGGTATTGTGTAGAATTAATTAATGGTTCATAGCTTACGACAATAGCATATTGACAAATATCAACTAAATATTCTTGCGCTGTTGACAGACAATGATAGATTGAGATCTTTGAGGATCGAATGACTAACCTTAATTTAAAAGTTTGCATAACTATGAAATTTTGGAGAATTAACTCTCTCCTATGTACATTGAATCTTTGAAGCTAAAGCAAATTAATTCATTTTAATATTTTGGAAATTCAGAGCTACGAATTTGTACGTGGCCTGATATTTTAGGTTCTATTTTTAGTATACGATAATATATATTAAGATTATTCATTGTTAATCATTACAAGAGAGCTAGCGGAATAAAAATATTCAAAGTACAAAGTTTACAAATGAAAGCAAGGGGAGAGAAGAGTGAGTAGTTAAATAGATTACATGAATTGAACACAGATCTGGAATTGTTCAAATGGCTAGGATGATAAATCAAGTTAAAATATGAAGATTATTCATGAACTAATAACTCACACTTAAGGGGTACATTAACATACATCTCTCTAGCTAAATCAAATAGATACAAACTTTTGGCTCTTGTGGAATCTTCAACTCCAATCCATTGTCACATTCTCTTTGCTGTGCTCCCCCAGCATGCAAATTTGAAGCATCTTCAATTGTATCAAGTGAGGTAGCAGTAACAATGGAAACTTGGTTTTTAATCTTGGGTCGTACTAGGAAAGACAAAATAAGTACAAGAGAAGCCATGGCATGGAGAATGAAACGCAACCTTCAATTCAAGCTAATAGATAAGTGATCACTGTGTGAATATATATATTTTGTTATATAAGTGATAAAATGGTATTGCCAGCCAGGAATTGATGAAAATGTTGGAGGGACAACTCCTTGCCCATGGTTTTGTTTCTGGTTTTCATTATTACAAGAGAAAATTTGGCCAATGTGCTACACCAAGTGGTTGGGGTTGTTGAGAACCTCATCCTTTGATAATTAATGAGAGGAAAAAAAAAAGAATATCAAATTAACTTTGGCCTGGATCTGGTGTACTTCATATTTCAACTGTATCTTTGATATTCAATTTTTCTAACTAGTTCAGTAAGCTTTCTTGTTTTTGTCACTGGGCAAGTACTGGATTATGAGAGGTAACGTACATGTTCCCCACTTGCCATGAAATACAATCTGTCTATAATAATAATAATTAATAATAATTTTATAAGCATAATCTGCTAAAAAATTATCACACAACAAATGTGAAACAATAAAATATAGACAATCATCTAAAAAGCTTTTGTAGACATATGTAAACATAAACGTTTTAACTCTATCATTTCTGCTCTTTTAACTATTGTGAATTCTATTATTTTCTTGTCGACACTGGATAATGGGAGCTTACAGAATACTAATAAAACTAGTTTAAAAGTTTTTTTTATCTTGTTTTAATAAATATTTTTTATATAAATTTATAAAAATAATTTATTTAATAAATGTTTAATTAAATTATTTACCCAAAATGGAGCCAAAAGTTTCTTGTGTCCACAGTATCGCATTCCTGAACTCTTCACACAGCATGACAAAACAGAAAATGGCCATTTAACCAAGTCTCAATCTACATCTTTAATATCTTACATGTTCATATTTCAAGCTTTATAGGTGAAGTCTTAGGTGATTTTCATTCAGTTGTAATATTGTTTTCCTTACTTTTACCGTATCATTGAATCAGGTGAATCTATCCCACTCTAAAATATTTACTATCATCCTTCTTTAAGTAATTTTTAAATAAAATTCTTTTTTTATTGATTAATAATAATAATAATAATTTTTAAATAACAAAATATTAAATGAAGATTGACAATAAGCATTTTAAAGTGGTGCTAGACATTCCCTGTTAAATTTCCTTTAAAATTAGTTTCAGTAAAGAAAATAAATAAATAAAACCATTAATATTAGTTTAGTTGTAAATTCAACTATTGTTTATTTGAAGCTTTCAACAAAAATAAGATGAACATTAATTTGTAGAAGAATTGTTACCCCTTATATTAAGTTATTAAATGCATCAGCAGTACAGTCATCATTTTCATAAAATAGCTTTGCATGCATTTAATAAACACTAACTAAGAAACATTTAATACACTGTCAAATGCTTCTAATTTCATAAAAAGATATATTAAGTGCATGGCAAATTCAGTTTATTTTTTTAAAATTATTTATCTATTTTTATCAGCAAATTCTTTGAAAAGACTTGAAAAAATAAGCAGTTAACCTTTTAAACCTAATTTGATGTCGACATGGGCTATATGTTCTATATGATTTTAATATCATAAACACTTTCTTTTAAAATAAAAACTTTCTACTTTTTATTGTCATAATTTTAGAACACTAGTCAGCATTTAATCATGAATAAACACTCTTATTAATTATTTACAAAGCATTATTCCTACTTAGAGCATGAAGGGTGTTGTGTGGCCCCTGCATCCACCATACTCCACATCAATATTCATTTGGTCCACCTTGTCAAGCCTTGTCCTCCTTTTGTTTAATCACCCCATGCGATGTGGGCCTCAGTTGAGTACCTACCCTAAACTAAATTGCATGTTTGGCCGGAGATAAATTTTTAGAAATTATCACTTATTTTTCAAAACCCTTCTAAAAAAAATAACAAAAATAAGCAATTATTTTTAAAACAGTTTCTTTAATGTATATCTAAAGACAAAATAAAAACCTATAAATAATAAGTTTTCAGGAAAATCACAGAATGCAATGCATTTAAAAACACAAGAATACTACTATTTTTAATAAAGTCTTACTATTTATTAATTTTTTGTTGTGACTTTAATCACACGTTAAAAAATTTCGTTCTTAAAATAAGCTAAACCAAACAGACAAATTTAAACACCCACTACAAGCATGGATTTGATGCCTCTAATGTTAGAGGAGCAATTTAAACCATAGTATAAAGGAATGCCATCATTAAAAATCAGAATCTAGAAAACGACTATGGAACTAAGCAGTAGCTTAAATTCATGTGTGTTTAAACATATCCAACACTGGTTATCTAACTTGATCATATATCAATTCAAGTACAACGTAGCAACTTATTAGTTGTCTTAAACCATTATTGAAAGAGAGCACAACCAGGATATTACTGCACATGGTTCACTATGAATCCTTTCCCACATCTTAGCCAGGTGGCCAGTTCATTTGTCGTCCCCCAAGGAGGTGCACATGAATGTGGTAAACTGATTGACCTGCCAAAATAGAAAATCATATCTTAAAATGATTCAGAAGAATCACTCAAGAGTTAACAATTCAAATAGAATATCAGTTATCAAAGTTTAAGAGTGGGCATGGAGAACAAAACTTACATCCCTTTGGCCCATCATTGATCACAATCCTGAAGCCATCATCAAGACCTTCTTGCTTTGCAACCAACTTAGCAGTGTAAAGAAGGCGGCCCAGAATTTCGCAGTGCCTCTCCTCAGCCTGTGGAAATAAATTCAGAAAACATAATTGAACAAAATAGAGAACAATTGTAGGTCATGGTCCTAGCTGTCAAAAGTTTCTGTCACTCAGTTTGATTCGTCAAAAAAAGTGAAGTCTCTCTTTAGGTGATAGTGAGAATAATGAATGTTGTCATCATATATGTGTAATGTTTTCTTTTGCTCTTGTTTACCAATATATTTGCAAATGTGTCTAAGGATCCATAAAAAGGAATGAATGAACAGTATAAAACTTCACACTAATACTTCAACTTTGCTGGAACTGGAGACACTACAAAATGGTAAATTGATTTAAAATACATAGAAATTAGTGATGAAATTTAGTGTGATAATGATAGGAACCTAGTATATTTATTTGAAAGAGTGGGGGAAGAACTCCCAAATTTACAGAATAAAACATATTGAAGAACTTCAAGGGTCTTATACCTCTCAATACCAAAAGGCCCTAATTTCCTCGCCAAAATGATAAGATATACCCCATCCCCTTCAGTCCCTTCTAGTTATTTATAGGCAGCATGCTTAATTAACTAATTCACACTACAGTCAACTAATTAATCTACTGTAACTACTAACGGGTAACTAACATATTGTAGCTAACTATTAATTGGGGTTACCTCATAGCTAACTAACGAGTTATGTTCATAAATGTGATTGGTGATTAAATTAATTGAAAAGGTTTCAAGATCTTTCACAAACACACACACATATAACAGTTTGCATGATTTTTTCTTTCACAAAACAAAAAGTAGAAAAAATAATTTCTCTCTGTGACGCCAATATGTTATCTTCCACCGATGTTTTTGATTTTCAGCCAACATTTTAATCGGACTATCTTTCATCTGATCTAATTTTCTCATCGGTGCCTCCTCCCCTTGTTTCAGGTGACCAAACCACTTTTGGCACACTTCATTGCCCAGTACTTGCAAACATAGGCCACCACTTAGAAAAGAAGATAATATAGCTAGTTATAACATTGTCGCTAGTAAGATGACATTCTAACAAGAAAAGTAATTGACATTACACTGGAGAGAAACACTTTTCTAATAGTGTTTTAAGGGTGAAATATATCTTCGTAAGAGCATGCAGGGATTGATAGCATTAAGAATAGTACCTAAGGTTATCTACATGAAGAAGCAGTTTATATGTTGGCATTAACCAAAATTTTATGATTTCTGAAAGGAGATTGATATGTCGATATCTGGGGTGCTAAGCAATCCATAGCCCATATCAAACTAGATTCATCATATAACAAAGAGCTATGGCTGCAAAGTCATCATGAACATGAAACAATGAACAATCTAATAGAGGGTTAGGTAGCCTCCAAACTATCATTCTCATAATAAAATATAGACCAAACAAGATTAATATACAATGATCAGGTAGGTCCTAAAAAATGAATAGTCACCATGAACCCATTTCAGAGCAAAACAAATTAATAGTTGAAGCACATCAGACATTATCCCGTTAAAGAAGTCATATAAACCACAATTCAAAGATTTAGCATAAGCATAAACAGTCCAAAAGAATAGTTTCAACTTTCAATAACTATGATTCATTGTTGACCAAGTTTTGGTAGGTCCACAATTCCACACAGAAAGGTTCATATCCAAAAACATGTAGACAATAGCCAGCACTTCAGAGTTCAAAACAGCATCGCTGTTACTGTAGGACAATATAAGATGAGCAATCTTTTTTTTCAAGAAAAAACCTTTACAGAATCAACAAGCAGATACTGAAGGAAATTTATTGTTTGCGTTCATATACCAGAAGAAAGGGCTAATTTTCATTATATTACTGTTTCAAGTGAATTCAATATGTAAATATACTAAGCATAATCATATGTGCACCCGTTTTTTCAAATGAAAGTTTGAGAAAGCATAATATGCCTATATACACAGAAAGAGCCACTAACAAATACCTTGGACAGACCAGTTAACCCATCTTTGACTTTAGGAATGATTAGAATATGTGTAGGAGCTTGAGGAGTTATGTCCCTAAAGGCAAGCACCTGTCAAAAGGGGTAAAAAAAAATAATAGAATGATCAATTGTGATAATAAACCAGAATACTGGACAACAGTGGAACCTTGCTAGCCCAGGCTCACTAATGCTAAAAAAAAACAGACAATAGAGAAAAAAATATATTTGATGAGTTTTAAAAGATCAAATTGGTAAATAATATCTATGAGAATTTAGTTTTTGACCAAGTCCAATGATATCATGTGGATCCACATAGCTAACCTTGACTAATGGGATAAGGCAATTGTTGTTAACATAAAATTTGAAATTGGAAGAATTTCCCTAAGTCTATTTTGGCAAGTTAGAAATACTTGTTTTTCCTTTAATCATCCATCATAGCATATAGCAGAGAGGCTCTTGCGCAAAATTCTGGCCATGCTTTATTTACAGGTAGCATAGAAATAGCCAAAGGAAAGGAGATAGAGTTGACAAATAAACAGTTCATTGACTAATACCATGACTGTTAAAAAACAATATTCTGATCATCCAATTAAATTTTTTCAAGGGAGAAGAAGCTAGGAAAGGCAAAGTGAAGATGACTGACAAAAAAAGAAAGTTAAAAAAGGAATATTCTGAAGAAAAATAAACCTGCAAACTAGATATAATTTTTCAACTTTTTAGCAATAAATTCAAAGTTGAAATGTTACTCACATAGAAGATCAAAATAAAATAGAATTGCTATTTGTACAAAAGATTTGTCCAGCTTTCGTTACTATTAAGAAACTTGGGCCTAACTCACTCCCAAAAGCTAGCTCATAGGAGGAGGATTGTCCTAACCCTTATAAGAAGTATTGTAGCTCTATTCCTAACCAATGTGAGACATCTTAACACCCCCCTTCACGCCCAGAACTAGACATCTGGTGCGTGATACTTGTAGGATTAGACATCTGCATGGGTGAACCCAACTGGGCAGCCCAACTTTCAAATTGAATAGGTTAGACATCGGTGGACAGCCCAACTTTCAAACTGAATAGGCTCTGATACCATGTTAAGAAACTTGAGCCTAACTCAATCCCAAAAGCTAGCTCATAGGAAGAGGAATTATTCTGACTCTATTTCTAACCACTGTAGGACATCTTAACAGTTACATCTTAGAGAAAAAGGAAGAGAAGAGAAAATAAAACCATGTAATAAGATGGGTGATAGAAATAAATTTGTTATTATAGAAATTTGTCACATCACTCATGTTATAACTCCCTTTTGTTTTCTTCTCTTCATTTTATACAAATAGCATTTCTCAATTTGAAATATCCATGTTAAGACATTCAAAACTGAGAAATCTGTTCACAAAGGATATCAGAATATCCACTTTCTTTGAACATTGAAAACGGATTGAACCTTTTTTAACATGTTCACATATCAATATGTTTAGAATGCAAAGAAACGTTAGCTATGAGAGCCAGGACACCCATTAAACCCAAAAAAAGTAAAAAGCCAACAACCCTATTGTATCACGACTCATGCGATTCAAATGTTAGCTATGTGGTTCAAACATGAATCATGCAGTTCTTTGTATCACGGGTTGCACAAGAAAATGGGTCAGGTTGTGTGCAACTCAGTGTGAAAAAACCCTAAAACAGAACTTTTTTTTATTATTTCTTGTAGTGATTTGGGTGGGGAACAGCCAACTTTTACCCTCCATTGATACCAGACAAAATATTGAACAAAGAATTTTTCAATTTCTCCTTTCCCACCACTTACCCCACATTCACATACTATTTCATTTCTTTTGGCTGGTCAGCTGCTCCCCCACATTTTGCTGCTGATTGCTGACTATCTCTACCCCACACGACACAAACTTTGTGCTGCCTTCTTTTTATTGCTCTCTCTTATTTCTCTTAATTCTTAATCATTGTCTGCTGGTTCCTGCATGATTCTGGTATTCCTGTACTTTGTTGCTGTCTTTTTGCTGTGTTATTTTGAAGTGTATATGACACATCATTAGCTATACAGTGAACTATTTGACTTCAAAATCCTAACATACAGCCGTTTCTATATGTTAAAATGTTTTTAGATTTATGCATTTTAATTTTTGATAATGAATTTGTGCTTTTTATATTACTTTGTTATCTATGTATGTTATTTTTAATCATTCATCGTGAACCCACGATATGGTTTGATTCACGATTCCAAAAATAAGGCTTTCATTGCAATTTGAATCCCGATTCAATGATCATGCTATGGACAGCGAATTTCAGAATTTCTGTGTCATTGATTCCTTAAGGAAACACCAACATGTCGCCCAAAATTCTTAATTGCAAGGACACAGAAGAAGGCATTACCTTATCATCCTCGTAAACCACAGTAGAAGGAATCTCCTTGTTTATAATCTTGTCAAATCTGTGCATCACAAAACACAACATAAATGACAGGTACCCACAAAAATTGAGATATCCACTCATGTCCCACTCCCAGTTCCAGCACCAAGAGGTAGAACCTCTGCAAAAATAAACATATGTATGTGCACCAAATCCGCCACAGCCACATCAAAAGCACTGATCAATTCCATCAAATGCAAAAACCAGAATCAACTTCTTCATAAGCAACAAAACAGCACCAATAACCACACACCTTAAACCCCTTCATTTTTGCAACAAAACTCACTCTGTTTTTTTCCAAAGCATGGAAATTTGAGTACCCATTAATCCAGAAAACATAAAAATGCAATCTTTTTTAGGTTTTCTTCGTACTAACCGATGTAATCAGAACATCAAACAGATGAATGGCAAGGAATTTTGTGAAACAAGGAGATACCCATGAAAGGGGGAACAATGAAATAGTGATCAGAACAAAAAAACAAAGTAAGGAGAGAAGAGAAGGAGAGTAAAGGATGAAGCTTTTAACGCATACATGGTGGGAGCATCAGCATCAGAGGGAGTGGCAGCAAGAGCAGCTTCTTTCTCTGAAGCCATGGAACCGAAAGAAGAACCAGTGAAGTGTGATGCCAACACAACGATTCTTTGATTTAAATTGTTGTTGCCATTCATTCGTTCATAAAATTAATTATAAAAAAAAAATGCTTAATTGGGATGGGAAGCCCCAAATTCAATAAGCCCTTGTAGCTGTATCTAATGTCCAAATGGCTATTGGGTTATAATTCTGAAGCTTAGATTTGTGTTGTATAATGACATTTTGTTGGGACACTTGTCCAAATGGTAAGCCACCACGTCCCTATGATATGTATCTGTTGAAATTTGTAGGTTTCCTGTATTTTGCGTTTAAAATCTTTATTTTTTTTCTTAGCTATTTTAAGGATAAAATAAAAGAAGAAAATATAAAAAATAAAGTAAAAATGATTTAACGTTCGAATGAGCTAAAATAAGAAAGAAAGAAAAAAAATATGATATATATATATATATATATATATTTGTTTATTTGAATAAAAAAAAAAATTAATTATATTAAAATAACTTTAAAAATAAAATAAATTTTTTATCATCATATTTTTTGTTGATACAAAATTTTAAAATATTTAATATTTTTATATTTTATAAATACAAATAATTTTAAAAAATAAAAGTAAAATGTGCCCTAAAAATAATTACATCACATGTGGATAATAATAAGTTGAATTTTCCTTAACAAGTTTATTATTCAACAAAAAAAATAAATGTCAGAGAATAACTTTTAATAAAAAAATTTAAGAATTAATTCTAAAAAAATGTTGCTTTTAGAGGAAAATAAAGTAATTAAACTAATTTATTATTTTGCATAGAACGGTCTATTTTCTCTTCATAATAGAAAATAAATTTTGATTTTGATTTTCACCTTTACTTTTTTCTTATTTTTAATTAAATAAAAATTATATTGTTCATATTAATTATTTTTTATTTTATTAAAAAATAAATAATAATTTATGAATTAATTTTTAATTTAAATGACATGTATATTTAAAAAACAATAATCTTATTCAAATTGAGTGAACTTACTATTAATTGAAAAAAAATTATTTATTGCAACGTCTAATACTTAAACTTCAAGAGAATTTAAGAACTAATATAATCAATTCAAGATATAATTTTGCTGATTTAATTATTTATATTATTATTATTGTATGCTTTTAAGTTAGAATATTAAATTTTTGGAAGACTAAAATAGTCCTCTATATATTTGTAGCAGTTTCTGTGTTTAAGGATACGCAATAAAAAATAAAATAAAATCTAGGGTACCCTATACAATTGAGATGGTTAGGTATCCTTTCTTGTACGTAAAATAATTTTAATAAAATAAATAATTAGTGAATTAATGATTTAGTTAAAAAAAATATTATAAAAATCATAACTGTTAATCTAAAAAGTATATAAAATATTCTTTCAAGTTTACAAGTATCATAGTGAGCATAAAAAAATTATTAAATAATAATTTTTACTGAATATTTTTACATCTAATGATAATAATATAATAAATTTTGTGATATCTTATAAAAATTAGGTATAAGTTTTTATTCAGTGTTTTATACTTATACATTAGAAAAATTGCTTAAATGAACATTAAATTTTATTAAAAATTACAATATTAGCATTAAATATTTTACATTAATTATGTTAGAAATCTTAATAATTTTTTTCTTGTATATTACGTTAAAAGAATTGTATATATATTTTATACAGTTGTTGCAAACTTTTATGTATTAGGTGTTCATTTAAAATCATAGTAAATATACTGCCTTATATTTGCGGAATGATAATTACACAACTTTTGGCTTACATTTCATGTTTGATTCCAACAAGCTTTAAACAGGACCCTTATCAAGTAGTTAATAGTAGACACGGCAACAAAAACGAATGTGGACATTTTTTTTGTGGTATTAATGAATTATTATTATTATTATTATTATCAAATTGTACTCAATTTTAGCTTAATAATGCAAAATTTCATGTGTAATAACAACTTGGTTTCGGGTGGTGCGTAGTTTCTACATCTTTACACTTCATACTTCCATCATCCCAAAAATCTTGTAGAAATAAAATCTGCAATTGCCATACTTGATGTTAAACCTGGTGAGTCAATTCCAAAAAGATTTACAAGACCTGGTACCCCATGGATGTCTTCTCCCTGCACAAATGGAACAATAATTAGACCATTTTTTCATGTTTGGTTGAAACGTAGAAAATCCAACCACACCCTTCAAATGAAGATGGCAGTAATATTGCCATGATCTTCAAGGATATCACAGAATTCACATGACAAAAAAAAAATTAATACTACAACATTTGCAATTTTCTATACCGCTTAAAAAATTCAATCAAATTACATTTTGATGTTTGAATTGGAAGAGACTCATCTACCTAGTAATAAATGCATTGTAGTAAATGTGTTGTGGTGGTGTGACACTAAGAAGAATGTAAGAAACAACAAATACTATAACAACAACCAAGCCTTATTTCATTAAGTGAGGTCAACTACATAGATCACACGATGTTATTGGGTTCGATCAAAAATTAAATTTTCAGAAATTTGATTAATTAACAGATCTCTTTTAATAACTATGTCTAAGATTCATTTGAATCTCCTTTGACCTCTCTTTACCAACTAAGAGTTATGCAATTCACTTTCCTTATTAACTCTTCTAAAAGTCTTCTTTGCACATGACTAAACCACCTTAAACAATTTTCAATCATATTTTCCACTATAGGCACTACTCTAATATTATCTTGTATACTATCATTTTATATCCTATCTTTTCTCACATATTCACTGATCCACTTTAACATTTACTTTTTTGTCACTCTCACCTTTTTCTTATATTCCTTTATGGTCCAACATTCATTACCATATAAGATACTAGTCGTATTGCAGTCCAGTAAAATTTTTCTTTCAGCTTGGTAGGTATTTGCAGTCACAAATAATTTCTAATATCTTTCTCCATTTTAACTACCTAGCTTGAATTTAGTGACTAACACTTTCATTAATTTATCTATTATTTTGTATAATCAATCCCCAAGTACTTGAAATTGAGAACTTTCAGTATAATATCATCTCCAAGTGTAACTTTCAACAAATAATCCTCATCTTTTTTTTTGGTAAACCTACAATGCATGTACTCTATTTTACTTCTACTCAAATGAAAACTCTTAGATTCTAAAGTCTCCTTCATAACTCAAGTTTTAGATTAATCTTTTTTTTCGAATCCTCGACTAACACTATATCATCTGGAAATAGTCTGCACCAAGAAATAATCTTTTGTGTCATTTTTAAGCACATTTAAAACAAGATTAAACAAATAAGGACTTAAAGCGAAGCCTTGATGTAAATTAATTCCAATTGGAAAGTCTTTAGAAATACCTCATAAGTTTTCACACATGTAGTTACCCCTTTGTACATGTCTTTTTTACCCAAATATATGCTACTCCATATCAATGAATTTTTGCAACCTCAATTTCTTCCTGTATTCTATGTTCAATCACCTTTTCTCACAACTTCATAGTGTGACTCATGATTTAAATCCCACTATAGTCCTCAACATTTTGGATATCACCCTTATTCTTGTATATAGGAACCAAAGTGTTCTTCCTTCATTCATATGGCATATTCTTAAATCTCAAAATCTCATTAAAGATTTTAGTGAGTCACTTCAGTTCTTGTTTTTCCAAACTTCTATAGGAATATTATCAAGGCCAATCAGTTTACCATTCTTCATCCTCTTAATAGCTTTCTTTACTTCTCAAACTCGAATTTTATGGTAATATGCTAACTTTAGCTCATTCACTTGTACTTCTAATTCTGTTAAATCTTCACTTGCTCCTTGTCCCTTGTTAAAATGTTCATAGAAATATTTCTCCCATCGAGGATATTTAACAAAAAAAGAAGCAATAGTTTCAAATGATTGACTTTTTATAGTTGCAATTAGGACTAACAAGGCTGAAATGAATATATATCTGACAGAATCCATTAAGGATATTATATGACTGACCTGAAATATTTTGCACAAGGATAGATGTTCTATTACTGAGATTGTGCATTTACAGTCAACATTAACAATGTCATCTAGTTTACATGCTTATATACCAATATTTATTACTGATTATAAAATTTTGTAAGTATCTGCATGATTGGAAATTCTAAACGAACAAGTCTATATAATCATGATTTTAGAGCAAACAAATGTCAGGTGATGCCAACAGTCCACGATATGTAAATAGCAGCAAATTTTGTGAAGGAAAAAGTATAATCTAGAAAACCAATGCTTATCTTCTTCATATTTGTACTTTAGCCAAAGCATATTCAACCATATAATCACGTGGATCAATTGGCATTTGGCAACCATGGAAGTATTGATGATACTTACAGTTGTTGTGCAAAGTTAAAGGGTGATGCCAGTAGTCCATTGACTTAAAAAGAAAAACAAATTCTATGGTGCGTGTAAAAGATACTTTTAGGACACCAATACCAATCTATTTGATTTGTGACGGAAATGTATCAAATGAACTTAAGCTGATAAATATTGAACATAAAGTGGCACAGACCAATGGACTAATTTGGAGTTTACAAAATAACTGTTAGCCAAAGCGAGGGAACTGTTACATAAATTATATGGTAGAAATGTAATAGTAAATCTAACATCTTGCACAATACTGTCTCTCTTATCAAATTATGAGACTCACAGTACAGGAGGATAGGAAAACAGTAAGAGAGTATGAGAAGGAACCTGTATAACATAATCAACAGGGGGCTGGCGCGGTCCTGAAAGTTTAGGTCTGATCCCTGAATATCCAGGTTCTAGAGAACCGTCCTTCAGATTTGGGTAGTACTTTCTTATCTCTGGATAAAATTGCTCAGCACGATTTGCATTTACTGAATAGTCAAACCTAGGATCAATGGTTACTTAAGTCATATCTGCAATCCAAATACACTTTTTTTCAAGGGAATGCATGGAAAACTGCCATGAGGGAAAAGGAAAAAAACAAACCAAGGTTTAGCAATGACAAAGTTTTATTTACTAATATATCAGTTGTCCAAATCTTACATTTAAGATCATACACAGATGTAAAATATCTCTAGTAAATATAAACTTTATGCCTATCAATTTAAATTTTAATATCGCATTAAAATATAACTAATCTAAACTTAAAATAAATAAATGGACACAATAAGTATGATAACATACTTCAAGGGGCTAATAGAAGCATAAGAGTATAAAGAGTGGTATGATCTTGATACACTAACAGACACAAACAAGTGACTGCAGAATAAATCCAAGCCATAGACTAGTTTCACCATTAGGATAAGAATTAACATATAATGCCTAATCTTATAAAATTGTTAAATAAAGTGAACCATCTACCTTTCCTAATGCTAAGAAACTATAAAAACGATTACACTATACATGAAACTAGTCTTTGACCATGAAATATTAGCAAAATCATGTAGCTTCATTCAAGTATTTGGAAAGATGTTGTGATAGTGGGAAGGTGAGAAGCGATCTAGATGTCAAGTAATCTGTTGGGCATGTTTGAACTGAAACTACAAATAACGAATTATAAATTTAGGAATAAAACCATTTCAAACACAAAAAAGGCAAATGTTGCCACAGATCATGTATGGGATATGGCAAGGAACCCAGATTCCAAAACAAATCAAAAGCATGCGAATGAAAGGGTATTAGGAAGTACTTATTCTGAAAGCTTGAAATATCATCAACACCATCAATCCATTCAACATTTGGCCCAAACTTGACCTGACCACTCAAGTCTAGTGTAACATGCACTCCAATGCCGCCATCCTCTGGTATAGGATAGATCAAATGTTTGAAAGGAGGGACTTTAGTGTTAGATAACATGAAGTAGCAACCACGTACATAGTAGGCAGGAGGAATAACTTCACTTTGTTGGCCAATAAATCTTTTTGCAAGAGCAGGGGCACTCAGGCCTGCAGAATTGACAACAAGTTTAGGAATTAAGACAAGTTCTGGGTGCAAAATTGATGTTCCATCCCATTGGTTAAGATGCTTGGTTTCTGTTATTTGAAGACAAATCTCATTTCCTTTGAGATGGCCACCAATGACAGTTGAATTGTACGTGAAGGTTGTTCCAAGATTTTCAGCTTCCCCCTGGACCAACATGGGGGTTTGTATTCTTGTCAATATATCATTTTAACTCCAAATAAAGAAAATGTTTAATTACAAAAGATTGAAGCTGAATCGATATATTTAAAACAAATTTGGATACATTAATCCCCATCTTTACAGCATGTAAAAGAAGCTAGAAATTCATACCACTAAAGACAGCATTAAAGAATGGGAATCAACAATCCCCGTGAGAGGTGATAGTATTGCCTTCAAACATTGCAATTCAGGTTCCATTTTCATGGCCTCAGCACCATCCATCATCTTCAAACTATCAACCCCATTTTGAATCCCATGATTAAAAATATCATCTAGTTTTGCAATCTCCGAAGATTGAGTAGCCACTATGAGCTTACCAATTTGTTTGTGTGGAATATCATGCTTGGAGCAATACTCATACAACATTTCCCTTCCTCTTACACAAAAAATTGCCTGCAGATAAAGGAGGAAATAAAACAGATATAATCATATTTTGGACCATTGTCAGGAGAAAGAATGGAAAATAAAAATACTCAATATTTATGATATGAAGTGAACAATATGTCTAAGTCCTTTTTAGTAGAGAAGATTATTTTCATTTTATGTGTTTTAGATTTAGTCAATAAATATTATTTCTAAGAATTTAGTTTTATGATATGAAGTGAACAACGCTTCATCAGATGTTTAAGTGTCAAACAAAAATGCCTACTAGTGCATTCACTTGAACTTCAAATGCAAAATAAAATCCCTGGATACATTGCTTCCCCATCTATCATCTTAGCCATGTGAGATCAACGAAAGACTCAACCATTTGAGTCTCCAATTACCCAACATGCTTTTTTCACCAACCAGCAAATAACACCGAGATTTAACCAGATTCATAACATAAAATTGATAACTTTATCTAGTGGGGTTACACAAAAATGGATTTCGATTCTCTCATGTTATTGTGTAACATGATATGATCACGTTAAATAAAAGAAAGATACAAATTGTATCAAATTGAGTTAATAAGTCCTATATCCAATTATAGTGGGTATTCATTTGATAAAAATTATATCTTTTCTTCTCCAACATGACTATTGATAACTAATAATCATCTCTTAATGAGAACATGTCAACAACTATATAATGTCACATACAAAGAAAATGTTAATCTCAGCCCACAAAGTACCTGAAAGTAGTAATTTTTTATTAATAAAAGATGCATTCATCATATTGTTATAACTTAAATGTGATATTTTTCAATAAAATTTTGCTATTTTAGGTGTTTAAACTCAATCCTAAGGTGAGATTCCCAAAAACCCTACTCATTAACATAAACAAAACAGGATCCAAATTCAATAAAAATGACAACTTTAACTGAAAAGAGCACCCCAACCTTGAAAGAATTGCGAGGGTAATAGATTCCAGCATGAATAACTTCACTATTTCTAGAACTGGTGCCTGTTCCAAAGGTGGGGGCAGATTCTATGACCAACACTTCCCTACCCTTAAGTGCTAGGGCTCTTGCTATTGCTATGCCCACCACACCAGCACCTATCACTATGCAATCCACTCTCTCCTTTGGAACACTGTACGAGGTTGTCCTTTCAGGTTGGGTGGTGTTGCTCACGTTTCTGACCCAATTGCCAAAAAAGTGCTTCTTCCATTTTATATCAACATTCTTTCTTCTTGATGCCGATGATATGCATCCTTCCAACCTTTGAACTGTTTGCTTTATCATTCTCAGTCCGACACCACTTTTGTTGTCTCAGCTTTCAGCTTATTTGTTTGTTGGAGGAGAGAAAATTATGGTGAGGAACTGAGGATTAAATTATCAATCAATTTACCAAAATCCAATCACCATGGGCTCGATAAAAAGAATTAAGTAGGGAAGGATTTATGCTTTTCTTCTTTCATGCGAGATGAAAGATGAACGAAATAAAACGCTGAAAGATAAAGTAACGGTGATTAGAGTTTATTACTCCCACATCATCCTGTGAAATTATTATTTTAAAAACTTATATTTACAAAAAATATTCTTTAAAAATTTTATTATTTAAAAATTCATATAAATTCGTATTTACAGAAACAAATCATTCTTCTTCGACCACTCTCTCACCCTTTCAATCCCAAATCAAAAAACTAAAATAGATATATTTAAAATTAATTTCATACAGTATTTGTGTCATATTTGTCTTGCAAATGAAAAAGCTTATATTAGTAATTAAACTAACCGAAAATAAAAACTAATTAAAATAAATTAATTAATATTTCATTTATTTAGTTTCTCTTTGCATTTCTATTTCATCAGTATATCATGATCCGTTGGAGGTGAGTGATTAACCATTGCTTCCATTGGAAAAGATAAAGAGAAACATAAAGAAATGATGGGCATGCCAAGAAGAATGGTCTACATAAACACACCATGTGTGGCTGTGAGTATGGTTCTCATCCTCATATGGATCTTTGTGCGAATGCACCATCCTTCTCTTTCTCTCATCCCTGATGATGATGATTTCAAGGCCAATCTTGTTAGATTTCACACTCGGCTCCATTCTCCCATTGTAAAAGACAACCGTGGCTGGTTGCTTGATCCTCTATCTCTTACATCTGCTTATGCCATTTCAGGTTTTTTTATTTCAATTGCTTCACTTCCGAAATTCCATCTTAATCAGATTCATTATCAAATGTTATAGGCTTATGGCAGTTTTCAATTTTTAATTATAATTAACACCATATGTGTATTAGGATCAAATGATATTAGGTGTTGAATTTAGTAAAATGGCATCACTAATAACTTTTTTATTAAAAATATATTTTAACAATTTAACTATTATATATATTAGTTATCAAATGTGTTACTTTATTAAAATTGAAAAACGTGGTCTGTATATACTAACTAGTATTGTCTACGAATTGGTCAATGACCCTAACATATTTTTTGGTAAAAAAATAATTAAAGTGGATTAGGTGTAGGATTTCAAGTAGATATGGCAAATAATAGATATATTCTTTTAGGGTACGTTTTACAACAAGGAGCTTTGGAGGAAAAGGAAAGAGAAAGTGAGATTTTCATTTTAAATTGATATGTCTAAAATTACTTTGGAATGACAAGAATAAATGATAGATTATTATAAAAACTTTTAGTCATTCCTTAAAAAAGTTTTCATTAATATTATATAATTCTTTTATTTTCAAATGTAAAACTTTACTATTCTAGTCGTTCATGTCTTGTTTTATTAGTTCTTCGTAGTAACAGTTCTTGGAGAATAGAGACATAGATACTTATGTTTGTGTTTATATATTATGTTTAGAAGCAAGAATAGAATGTAGTTATTGTGTTTTGTATTGTATTTAGATATAAAAATTATGAGAGTAATTTATGTAACTTTTAAAAATTATGTAATTTTTAAAATTATAAGAAGTATTTTTATTTTCAAAAGTTTACTTTTTGTGTTTCTAGAGTTAGAACATACTTTTGATTTGTTATTTTTGTGTTATGATTCTAGTAGTAATTTAAAACAAGATCCTTAATTGCTTCTCTTCTCCATAGGTGGAGCTGTTAATTGTGCTTCGATTCATGCTGGGGAAATTAGACCGGGCAGGTTAAGAGGAAATCATAGACACCATGATTGTAATGAGACACTTGTCATTTGGGGTGCTTCAACAAAATTTAGGGTAAGGTCCAATCTTAATCTTGACACCAAAAATATCATTGATTTTCTTATGTATTATTGAATTGATAACTAGCTTACCAGATAAATGACTTTTATAAATAGAAGGCTATACAATCTTACATGTTGGCCAAAAGATAAAGTAAAATCCCTTTAAGTGAATAGTTATCAAGATGTTATCTCTATTCTTTTGGTTTCTTTGCCTAAACAATTAATCTTGAATGCTTATTCTTGGATAAGTGTTACAAAATATATATCTCTTTTAATCTTTGAAGTTACCGATTTCTGAATTTATGCTCAAATAATAGTATTGTAAGCAGAAAAATTGAGATTTGTTGTTGGCTTACTCCTCATTCTTGTTTAGTTTGTTTTTTAACTTTTATCTAGTCATGGTTATGGATAAGAAGGTTTTCATAAATAAAGTGAAGGAATATGCTATAGTTTCTTGTGCATCACAGATTCACAATGAAATGAAATGAAAAATTCCTTCTATAATAAATTTTGCAATACTGTTGAATGGGCATAGCAAGCTATTTGATCCTTTTGTAATGCAATGGTGGAACAACTAATTTCCAAATTATAACACAGATTGTAGTTGACCATCAAAAACAAATTTTCATACGTTTTTTATTTGTGACATGCAACATTTTTGCAGTTAGAGAACAAGAAGATACCTGATAGTGGTTATGCTGAGGTGACTTTTGGGTCAGATGATGTTGTTATTGTCGCAAGCCCAAGAGGGATAGCCCATGCAATAATGAACATAGATCATGTTCGAAGTACATTCTTTATAGGATGCCAAGATAGTGTCATAACTTATAATGCATCAAGTACTGACTTTAATGTTTGGAAAGATCTTTAAGGTGTTCTCTAAGGATTTTCTAGTTACTTTCCTTTTGGTGCAATGTAAAATGTATTTTCTAAGGTTATTAATACATGACATAAGAAGATTATTTGAGATGAGAGAAGAATGAGAGACATAAAATGATTTCTTGTATCTAAACTATACAGCAAAACATGATAAAAATAATTAATACATGAATTATAACTATAACGAAACATAAAGTTACTTAATTAATATAATTACAAAGATATTAACTTTACTGTCTACAACATTATTATGATTACATATTTCTGAAAATGTCTATGTAGAATGTTTGCTTTGTTGCAAACTCATTTGATGAATTTTAAGGTTTTCAGTTTAGAAAAAGGAAGAAACTATATTTTCTATAGTATCCATAGTCTGTTACAAGAAAATGTTCTTTGTTTTTTTGTCTACTAGTTACTCAGAATCATATTTTAGGTCATCACCTCACCAAATACATATTAAATATAGTTGGGTTAATTTTTATGAGCCATTCTTTCTATCAGCTATATGACTTGTTTCCATGGTGCAATGCTTAGAAAGTTAGAAGCTTGTAATCTGATGTTATATTTTTTTCTCAATTCAAAAGTTTTATATACTGTAAAATTATAGATGATGCCATTTTACAGTTGTCTACCATCATTATCCTTTAGTATAAAGGTGTTTGTTTAAATTTGTAACTAATGTTCTCTCTTTCTTGTCTTCTTTGGAAATCTGAATTACTATACTATTTGTGCTGTGAATCTATTTTCTCAGTTCTATTTCATTTAATCAAGTATACGTCCACAAAACATTTGATTAGCATGATTTGATTAACCATAGAAATTTCGGTCACTAATCTGTGTATTTTGTTTTTTTTTATTATTATTATTGGTGCTGATTCTTACCTCGGATGAAACTAATTAAAAGCTATTTAAGGAATTAACAGATCTTGCTTACATGAATCCATTTTATGATTATGCTTCAAATTGATGAAGTTAGTATGGTTTAATTCTTTTTGTTTGTCTCTTAATTTTTTCCATAAACTTTTTACACCTTGCTTAATTTATGCATAAATGTTTCTTGAACATTTAAAAGATAAATATTTTAAAGTAATTTTTTAATATGTTTTTGAAATGGATATATACAATATCATATTACGGAGTCAATTTTCCGTAATTCAAATAACAAAACTGTAATTTATACAATGAAATTGGAACTTGAGATGTGTAAGTAATATTAATAAGAAATTTAGTTGTTTGTTCCCCAGTAGATTGTTGTCTACTGCGATGCACAGTTGTGATAAATTTTGATCCTCCATAAATTATGCTTAAAGAAAACATTCAATTTAATAGTCTATAAATGAAAGTGTTAATTATCGAGAAAATCTTTCAAATTTAAATATTTGAAATGACAAATTAATATTTTAATTACTTAAATCGCTATCAAATTAATCTTTTAAAACTTTTGTGACTAAATTAGTCTTTGTATGATGGCTTTAATTCCGTATCAGAATTAATTTGATAAATTTTAGATTTTTTTTCAAAGATTTAATTTATCTTTAAAATAGCAGTGTCGATTTAGATCTTGAAAGAATAATTAGCAAATTAAGTTTTTAAAAGACTAGTTACTTTGTTAACAAAATGTTTGAAGAACTAACGTCGTAAAGATTTAAATCCTTAAAAACCTAATTTGATAATGTAAATTTTTAAAAAACATGATTAATGATGCTTTATTTTTTTAGGACCATGTTCACATTGTTCTCATTGTTCTTATATTATAAGCTTCAATTAAGTCTTTGATTTCTTCTCCAAGCAGCTACATGTGTGGTGTTTTGAGGTGTCCATGATTGGAGCTTCCGTCACTGAAAAATGTGATTTACTACAAAAATTATTGTTGAATTAGATTTTGTTAATATGAAGATTTTTAACAAAAATTGATTTGCTAGTATATTTACTTTATAGTTCTATCCTAAAAAAACAATATATTATACTATTAAATAATTTTATTAGTATATAACATTAATATATACCATCAATACATAAATAGTATAAAATATTATTGGTTAATATAAGTCTCTATATTCTTTGTTAATTTAATTTTTTGGTCAAACAACATCTATACTAACTAAAATTATCTTAACATTTAACATTTCTTGTGCATAAGTAAATGCCAATTGTTTGTTTATAATACACCATAAGTTAAATGATTTGTAATTAAGCACTCCTTTAATGATAAATAAAATTAGATTTCTTATCTTTAGAGAATCAGCCTCTCAAGTCTCAACTAATGCTACCAAAAGGTTTCTTGTTTTAGTTGCTTTTCCTATCACAGCATACTCACAAATCCTCACAATTATTCTTCGTTTCTAGGTTGACCCATTTTGGTGAGATGCAATCAACTTAACATCTGAATGGCCTCATCATTGCAAGAGTCTACGTAACCAATAAAAGCTCCAATTGTCTTTGATGGGGACGCCGTGGTTTCTTTTTCGTTCACTCTATTTTCCATAAAACCAAATAAACGAATCCCTGTCATGAAAATTCTCCGATAGAATTTTCAGCTCAAATTCATATATATTACTAGTATTAAAGTTCAACTACTAATATGTTACATGGCATATTTTAATATATTTTAAATTTTAAATTTTATTATTTTATTATTTTATTATTTTTTATGAAAATTTTATTATCTTATCTATATTTTATTTAATATTTTAAGTTCTAATTTTTTTCAACACATTTTTTATACTATCATTATTTTTAATATTTTTCAAAGACTAAAAATTATAATAATATTTAGAAAAGTATAAATTTTTATTGTATATGTTATTCAACATTATAGAAAAATATTTTATTAGATTTACTTTTTTAGGAGACTTAAAATCATAAAAAAATAGTTAGACTTTATATTTTTTTACTAGATAATAATATAAATTTAAAGCACATATTATGAGTTAACTCTTTCGTAAAAGTAAATAAACATATTTAATAAATCATACCCCCCTTCTCTCCCTCTCTCTCTCTCTCTCTATATATATATATATATATAAAGTGATTATTGTAATAATAAAAAATTACATGCACAAATAGGTTATGAATTAAATACTTATAATTTCTTTTGATCTTTGAAAGAATTATAATGAAAATTAAGTTGATATTTTAAATATTTATAATATTAAAATTTTAAAATATATGAATAATTTTTATTTTTATTTATAAATTATTTAATTTCATTTGAAGGATTTGTTTATCATCATAAATATTTGTAACACCAAAATTAATATCAAATAAATTTTCTAAATATTAATTAATATTTTTATATTATTTAAGTAATTTATACATTAATATAAATGATTAAAAACTATATAATTTCAAAATTTAACTAAAGAACACTAACTTTATAGTATCATCTAATCATAAATACTTTATAACATTTAACCCTAGATATTAACATATAAGTGAAAAAGGTTAACTTTTATAATAATTAATTTAAAAATAATACGTGTAATGAATTTAAATTATTTATAATAGAATTTTTAAAATTAAAAGTTATTTTTAAGATATTTTAAATAATTGATTATTATTGCAGAAAGAAAATATAGTTAAAGAGAGAAAGTGAACAGAGAAATCGTGACGGGGCATTAAAATGGGCCTTACTGCTGCAACCGCTCCGCGTCCAAACCGCGTAACCGCGTATTGCGTCCCCTGTTTCCGTTGTCAAGTTGCGTGGCAATAACGTCATAGAATAATTTTCTTTATAAAATTTAAATAAATAATAAATACAATAAATAAATAAAAAATCATTGACCAACAACAATTTCTCACCACCACGAAACTAGTATTTGATGTGACTACTAATAGAAACATTATTTTTTAATATATTATAAATTTAGAGAATATTTTATGTAATTATTATTAATTTTATATTAATAAAAATAAAATTGATGATTTATTTAAAAATATATAAATATTTTTTTATTTTTTAAATATTAAAAAAATTATAATTATCAAATTTACATGGTAATAAGCACTTTTTTTTTCTGAGGTATTAACTAATAAGCACTTTAATAGTAAATACCTCCTTTTTCTTAATTTTTCAACGCTATGCTTTATTAAGTTTCCAAAGATTTTCGTTGGTGAGTTTTGTTATGATAAGGTACACTCCATGTAAAATCTGTGGTGTGTGACTGTGGACCGTAGATTTTTATCTTTACATTCTAGTAATGCCACGTGGCTACACGCGAATGTTTGTCACCGAAGAACACTGTTGGCCAATTGTGATAGCTTTGGTTTTGTTGATTGAATTTTTGAATTTACAATTTTGCCCATTACCTGAACCTGAGATATTTTGCTACCATGCCGAAGATCTTTATCCTCAAGAGACGTATCTTACCTAAACTACCCCTGATTCAAAATTGACGTTTGTCTTTGATGTAGTCTTAGTTTTGTTAACGATATGACACTAATACCCATCCCATTTATGAAAAATATTTAAATTAAAGAAAAAGGGTTTTCAATTTAAAGCGTAATAAAAGTTAAAATAAGCTAAAACTCTTATTTTTGATAAATATTATAATATATTTTTAACTATTAATTAAAATTATAATAACTTTATAAAATTTTATTTTTATTATTCTTAATTTAATAAACTTTTTATCCTTTTGTAATTTTTATTAAATTTCAGTCAATAATTAAAAGTGTCTTTAAAAAATTGTTAAAAATATTATAAAAAGGTAAAAGAATATTAGAAATACACTTTCTTAAAGTTTTATCGTCAATTTAAAATCTTGTCAGCATTTTCATTCAAGCAATTGTCCCATTTTCTTAGCAATTTAGTTGTATTTTATGAAGATGAGAATTTGGTCGATACGTCATTTTTAAAAAATGTTAAGAAATTAGAATAAAACTATAAAAATCAAAGTTAATATTTTGATTATACAAAATTATGTGTCAAATAATGTTTTTTCTCAAAACATTTTTCATGGAAACTTCTTAAAATACAATAAACATTAAAAACCAAAATGCTTTTGAATTCTCTTTATTCCTCATCATAAACACATTTTTAACTGATTCCTAAAGAATAAAGCTTTTAAAAAATAATTAACAGGTTTTAATTTATACAGAAGCTAAATTTATCAAAATTATTCTTATTTAAAAATACAATAATTATATTAATTTCACACTACACCTTGATTTTAATTTTAACGTTTCATTGATTAAATATATTAGTAACTAGATATATATAATTTTATTAATTTCAACCCTTAAAATTTAGTTTAAACATTTAAATGTATTGATTTTTTTTAAAAATAATTATTCTGTTAAAAATATAAAATATTAGATATTTAAACTTGAATTAAAAACGTGATTTTTGAAAAAAAAATCACATTTCCTTATTTAAAATATTTATTAGGTTGGAGTAAAAGATTTTCCTTATTAAATTCATTTTATTGAAAAAAGTGACAAATGCTTATAAAAATGTATACAGTAATTAAATATAATTTAATTAAAAATTTTGGATGGACATAGAAAAAAACCTTAATCCGTCATGAATTTTATAAAGTAAATTATATATTGTTTTTTATTTTTATCTGTTCACATAAGATGTAACACACACATTAAATAATATAATTAATATCTTTATTTATATTAAAATTATTTTGAATTTTTCAATACAAAATTCACTATTATCTCTCTTTGATTTATTCTAAGTGTGTAAATGATAATGAATTACATAAAAATAAGAGTATAATTAAAAATTAATGTTATTTTAAAATTCTAATTAGTATTTATATAAATAAAAAATAAAATAAATCCCAAATATTTTGTAATGAGACAATTAAAAGTTTTATATATTTATAAATATATATATATATATATATATATCATTTTTTAAATTAAATTTAAGACTTTTTTATTCAAAGATGCAAACTCTTTTTTTTAGACGTTACATCTTAATAATAAAAGAACGAATGAAGGGATTATCAATGAATTATTCATGTTCATAATAATGAATCAAATATTATAAATTTGAATAAAACTTTATTATTTATTAAAAGGTGAAAATGGTAGAATAAGGGGTAGAAAAGGGAAGAGAAGAAGGGGCAAAAAAGAGAAAAGGAAAAGTAAAAAAATGGTAAAGGGTGTGGAGACCGCGTTGCTCAGTTATGATTGATTCCAGCGATGGTGCTTCATATATAAACAGCGCCAGCGAGACTTGGTGCCATCTACGTTCAAACACACACACACTCTCTCTCTCAAATTGATCCAAGAAACTCGAACTAGACAATAAGAGAAAGAAGAAAGAGCGATTCTCTTACCGAACACCAAAACAATGGCCGATCAACTTACCGATGAACAGATCTCCGAGTTCAAAGAAGCCTTCAGTTTGTTCGACAAGGATGGCGACGGTTCGTTCTCTCTCTCGATATATATTTGATTTGATTTTGTTACAACGAGAGCAGTTTTCGAAGATCGGTGTTCTTACGTCGTTATTTTGTTTTGACAAGCTTTTGCTCTCGATTTGGATTCGGAAATTAGGCGGAATCGTGATTGTTGATTTTTTCTTTTGAGAAGTTTATTGTTATTATTATTATTATTATTATTTGGTTAATTTATAGATTTAGATCTCTGGCTATTTATTTATTTATTTATTTACTGCAGAGGAGAAAAAATGCTAACGTTTTTTTTGTCTTCTGCTTGTTATTTTCTAGTTTCTCTTTTGGTTGAATTTAATTGTTTAAGGAATTATTGTTTATCTCACTTTTCTTTTATAGACATGAATTGAAGGTTACGTTTGGTGTTTGGTTTATTAATTTTTAAGGAAAATAATTGCTGGAATTTTAGGTAAATGAGGAGTTGTAGAAGGTTTTAGATCTTAGTCTTGGCATGTTTTTTTCCATTGCATGTTTTGGTTTTCATATTGTTTGAGGAAGGGGAAAGAGAGGAACGAATTCTAGTTAGATTACTCATTTTTCTTCGTTTCCCTGCATTTTCTTTATCAGTAAACTGCATATATAAAGATTGTGTTGATAACGGAGACAGTCAGGGATAATTATAAAACTTTCACTTGATATTAATGTTTGACTGATATATCCAACTGACATACGGACATTTGCAACTCTTTATTTATTTATTTATTTCTAGATATTATTGACATTCTTATGAATATGATTAATATTTTGATACTTTGCCTATGGCTTGTGAGCTTGCTTTTGTGTCCGAGTGTTGTGAAACTTGGCAAAGTTTTGTTGAAAAGCACTTATATATTATCGGTTTTTCTTACTTGTGTAGAAGGGCACACAATAAGAACATACATTTAGTAGGGTTTTACTAAAAATTAGAACATTAGCTATTATAATTTTTAATGAAAAATTACTATTTATTAATTTCTTAATGTGTGTCCTTGACAACACATCAGAAAATATACATAGCTAGTTATATTTTCTTGCTAAAGACAAAAGTATCAAGGGTGTGTTTGGGTAAGTAGTCTAATTAAAATTTAATGAATAAACTTTTTTCACACAAGCGTCTATAACGTAAATTTTTTCATAAAGCTTATTAGAATCAATAAGTTGTCAAATTCAAGAGTTCACATAAACTTGAATTGTAAACTCTTATGCAAAAATAATATTCAAAATGCCACAATAATAAAACAAAGCACAATACCTAAGTCAATAACAAAATTAAAAGCATATTTAAATATACCAAATCATAATGAAAATATAATTTTGATGCCCTAATTTCCAAATGGTCTAATTTTGGTAAAAGAAAAAATGTGTGGTTGATAATGCATTGATGTTATTATGAAACTATTCTCTAAATAACACATAAAAAAAGGTCTGGATCCTGAAATTGATTGAATAAAAAATTATTAGTGTGACTAAGCATAATCATCTAACTAATTAACAACTAACTTCACTGTGTGTGGTTGATAATGAGGCCATGAATTTGAAGCTGTTGTTGATTTTGTTGAATTTGGTGTGGACTTGCAGGTTGCATCACGACCAAGGAGCTTGGAACTGTTATGCGATCATTGGGGCAAAACCCAACTGAGGCAGAGCTCCAGGACATGATTAACGAAGTAGATGCTGATGGGAATGGTACCATTGACTTCCCCGAGTTTCTAAACCTCATGGCCCGGAAGATGAAGGACACTGATTCTGAGGAGGAGCTGAAGGAGGCATTCCGGGTTTTCGACAAGGATCAGAATGGGTTCATTTCTGCTGCTGAACTCCGCCATGTGATGACCAACCTTGGGGAGAAGCTCACTGATGAAGAGGTTGATGAGATGATTCGCGAGGCTGATGTTGATGGTGATGGCCAAATAAATTACGAAGAGTTTGTTAAGGTGATGATGGCCAAGTGATCGCATCACAATGTCCACCAAAACCTGAATGAAAAAATGCTGATTAAAAGGAAATGAACAAAAAACAAAGGAGAAAGGACAAGATTGGCTTGTACAACTGTGCTCGTAGTAGTTCTTGTCTTTCTTCTTCCTTTATTTTTATTTAATGGTTTAGAGTCCAACCTTAAAAAGTCAATTAGGGATAAGTGCTGCCACTAATGGTTGTGGTGGAACTGTATCGTCTTAGTTTGTCTTGTAATTTTATTCCCCCACCCCAACCTCCCCTCTTTAAAAAAGTTGTAATGTTGATGTCACTTCTCTTTCTACCACTCCTCATTTTTGGTGAATGTTGGTGAATATTGTAATGATATTTGACATGCAGCCTAGTTCTTCTTGAAAAGAACATTTCCTTCTTGTTGACAATACCATTTCCTTCTGGCCAGTAGGATTATTGGATATGGGTTTGAGTAATAGGTTTGAGAAACAATTTCAAAACTAATTTTTTAGCAATCTTTTTATGGTCTTGAGTTACAGGATGCTTTTTTTTTTCTTTTTTTTTCCGTTGATACAATAATCATACTTAGTGTTAGTGTTTATATTCAACTTTGAATGTGTTTGATAGTCTAAATATTATTGCACAATTTTCATCAAGTTCTATCTTTATGCATTAACAATATATACAACAGTTCTATATACAGAAAACTTGATTTTTGAATGATATAATATTCATGTATTACGATCTCTTATTTCCTGCACAAATGTGTATCACGTTCAATAGCTTTGGATACGAAAGTTTAAAACACTTGCGAATATTTGGACAGGATAAGACCCATTATTTAAAAGGTTTCTGATGAGAGTAGGTTTAATGTTGTAATAAACATGCTTTTTTTTTTTTTTTTTTGGTGCATGGTACAAGAAATTAGCATAGAAGATATTTTTTTTCTCTACTAAAATAATTACATATTATTTTTCACAAAAATAAGTCTATTTTTATGGTTAACTTAACTTTCTATTTTAAACGAATTAAATAAATTTAAATTTTCTCTCACAAAAATTAGCATTTAGTTTTATTTTTTGCTTAAAAAAATGTGAACATAAAAAAAGTTATGTAAAATTTATTTAAATAAATTCAAAATTTATTTTTATATCTTCAATCCTTCTTATTTTTATCGTACCTAACTTCTCTTCCTTAAATTTTGTCTCTCTCTATCCAATACTCTTATTCATCTTCTGTACTCAACTCTCTCTCCTCAGCTTCATTTTCTTTCATAGAATTATATTCAACTCATTTCTTCTTTCCACCCTTACTCTCTTTTCTCATATCCAACTTTCTCTCTCTCGCTTTACTTTCTCATAAATAATATCTAAAATTTATTTAAGTGAATTTCGTGTAATATTTTTTTATTTTTTATAATTTTATTTAAAAAATAGAATTGAACTTTTAGTTTTTGACTTAATGAAAGAAAATTTGGATCCAAATTACAATTGTATAAAAAAAATTATAGGTTTACAATTGCTTATATTAAAATACTTAATAAGTTTATTAAAATAATAATATAAAATTTATCTAAGATTTAATGACTTTAATCTAACAAAATGCATTAAGGTTTTCAATTTTAAAGGATTTGTCTTAGATTTACAAAGTAAATAATTATTACTTAAATCATAATTGAACAATTACCGAATAAAAAAAAATAATGAATAATGATAATATGAAAAAGTAGAAACATAAACTTTGGAAGTTGATTAGTAGTCAAGTGTCTAACATGTGATTCAAGCTTGTCTAGATCATCTATAATATTTATAAATATTTGTAAGATTTTTGTTTTAAATTTTTAAATTTTGATTTTGGCCTTTAATTTTTTAAGTTTAAGTGTATTCTTAATATTTTTTTATTATTAAATGATAACAAAATTAACTTAGAAGATTGCTAAATGTCAATTTTTTGTTATTAAAATTAAAATCATATGGAAATAGAGAATAAAATAAAATAAATAAGATTAAAACTAAGATTCACAAAATTTAAAATACATGGATTGAAAATATGTTTAAGAAAATTCATAAGCAATTATATTTTTAAATAAATTTAAATTTCTAATAAATGATAAAGAATAATTAAAGTGCTTGTCGTAATACAACTTTCATTACAACGATTTTAATAATGCTTTTATATTATAAAAGTATCTTATAACATAATAATTATTTATTTTAATAAATAAAACATTTTAAAGTTATTTATTTCTGTAATAATATAATGATATTTTAGAATAGTAAGTATTATTTTATATTATATCAAGTAAACGATTTAATTGTAAGATCTTACTTACTGTTGTTTTTAAATGTCTTTAGTCAAATATTAACATTAAGATAATATAATATGTTAAGACTAGTGTGTGAGTGAATTAATAATCAAATCTCATATCATGGATGTAAGATATCAAACTCTCACACAAATACACATTAGGAGTAATAATATATTGGACTAATTCTGTAAAAGTGTTATATAAATTGTTATATGAGTGTCAAACATATTTTTTAGTATAACTATGAGTGATTTTTTGACCTAAAGACATTATGATTTCTACGTGATGAACTTATATTTTGATCTAATCAAACATCACCTCCAATGAAGTTATCATAATGTTGCAGGTTGAATATAAAATAAATCATGAGTAGGAATGTTAGTGATCTATATAAAATTATCATAATGTTGAAGGTTGGATATAAAATAAATCATGAGTAGGAATGTTAGTGATCTATATGAAATTTGTCCCTCTTATATAATATAAGTAATATTTATAAAGTTTTTTTTTTTTACAAAGACATACTACAAAATACATAGTTATTCTTAGTAAAATAAATATGAGATATTTATTCAAGAAAAATCTACTTAGATATCAAGAAATAAAAGTAAATTTTACAATTAGACATGCTCTATCCTTGTGTTCAATTAGATGAAATAATAAAAAAAACTAATCATATATTACATATTATCATGTAAATATATCATGTTAATATATAATATTCTTAATATTTGAGGATAATGTTATATTACTAAATATTGTTTAATATTTATAAAATTTAATATAAACTAAATATTAAAAGAATATATAAGGTTGCACAAAAGAACAAGCCTATTTGAAAACTTAAATTCTAGTTGAACTATAATTATTATCTAATAGAAGCAAACTCATAAGAAATGAGAGTAAGAATTGAATTACATTTATTAGGATTTTTCCTTTTTTAAAAGAGCATTAGATGCCTAACCTTAATCACATGTGGCCATATTTACTCCCTCATAACTATTAACCTATAGATGACTTAGGTGGATTATTCATGTATCTATCTAAAAACATACAACTGCGATCAGCATGTTTGTCATAACAAAGCAGCTTTAAAATAAAAAATTGTACATGTATGCCTGTGTTTGAAATGTAGATATCACGGGGGTATTAGAGGATGATGTGTTCTAGTTTTATTATTATACACACAATTTCTTTGACCAAAAATTTTTAAAGTTAAAGTTAAGAATTAATTTAACAAAAGAATTAAATATAAGATGTGATTATATCATAATACTATGATATATATAATGATTTATGTGAGAAGACTATTTTCTAAATTATTGGAGAAACCATTAATTGTCCCTCAACAGACAATGTGAGGGCCATCTAGTATGAATGATATAGTTGAGAGGTAAAAATAAACTCTTTAGGATACGGTAAGAAATATAACAAGTCATTCTACCTTAATAGAGACACTTTGGGGAGAAGCACCAAAGACAAGAAACTATATTTTGAGTATAGTGCCAACTAAAGTAACTACTAAAACACCTATTGCTTTAGACAAGGCAAAATCCTATTATTAAGCACAAGATAATGTTAGAAATTGTTATTGTTCAAAAAATAAATTTGAAATTCCATAAAAAATATTGATCAATTTTTCCTTCAAGATGAGGTAGTTGCTCCTCTACGACTAACTCAATAGCCTCACAACACATATCATTAAGTTAATCCACCAAAGAAAGGAGAAATACAATTGCATATGACTATATTTTATTTCTTCAAGAATATGATATAAATAAAAGTATGATCGAGGGTGATTCTATTAAGGGCCTAATATTTTCAAAAGAATTTAATCCCAATTAACTTTCGTCAACCCATATAGGCAATATAGTTGCGGAGACCACATGTGATATTCTTTAATGAGGGATCCACAATCAATCTAAGATTAAATTGATACACATTTCCATTAAGTTTAGCGATTTTAAATTAATTTCAATAAAATTAATTCTACTTAACTTTATAGCAAGCAAATCTTTAAAATTGAGTTGGCAGAATTGAAACTTATTGCAATTTATAAATTCATTATAAGCATAGTTGAAATCTGAACTTTATAATTCAAGTGAAAGAGAATAAATAAAAATAAATAGCTAAAAGCATTTTATTGTAGTTTAGATATAAAGTGATGTTTTAGCGCATTTATGAAATGTTGGAAGTTATTTTTTGAGTTAATTTAGGTAGATTACTCAAATTTAGTTCACACCCCTACAATGATTGGCCATGGTACAAACTTGTGATGTCAAAATTCAGACCAAAAGGTCGTCACATTAGATAAAGTTTTACACAACCAACACTAGTAGTGAGGACGTTAATCTCGTAACCTTGCCTACCAAAATTCTCAGTTAATAAACACATTTATGAATATTTATGTTCCTTATTGACTTAATTTAGACAGACTAATTACATACTTAACAGTGACTGATCATGATAAAATAGACTGAAACTGGCTATACTTTGCCTACAATGTCAAAAATTCAAATCAAAGAATCGTCCCTTGGCATAAAGTTTTTCCAAATCATCGCCCCTAACTCGAAGGTGATATTTTGCCTAAAAAATTTCTCCATCACCCCGCCATATGTAAAAACTTTACGTCTTATACTCAAGGACTTCCAAGCCATGTTGTGGATGGAATCCTAGTTTCAAGGTCATGCTAACCCATGATTCGATAAGGTTCAACGTTGCCTTGCTGCCTCATTAAGAAAGAAAGAAAGAAGAAAAGTAAAGAAGCTAACCCAAGAGCACATACAACAGTGTAATTTCATTCGTTTACTCCCACAAAATGTACTCATTTGAATCCATCTTCCCCATCCACCCACATTCCCCTTTTTCATTATCAATAAACAAACGAAAAGTTCAATTATTGAACAAACTTATTACAATCTTTTCAAACTTCTTTTTCTGGCATCTATCTTCTTCTTGTCTGTCTGAGCTTTGGCTACTCCACTATCCTTCTTTTGTGCAGCATGAACTGTGGATGAGGCACAAGAACCGTTAAGAGCTGGCTCGGCTGCAACTGCTGCATGTTCCTGATTTTTTCCTCTAGTTGATGGAGCCCACGGCAATGGCAATGCCACACCCGATGATGCAGTTCTGATTTCAGCATTAAGAACTGAGGTGTTACTCTTGTCAACATTCAGAGCAGTCGTAGATTCAGATATAGCTCCAGTTTTAAATTTAGGCTTAGGTTTTGCATGGATTCCTGTGTAAAGTCTGCAGCATGCGACAAATGAAGTTGAAGATCCTTCATTATGTGCATGAGGGGTAAGATTTACATACCAAATATGTAAAAACAAAGTAGCATGTATAAATATCTGTCGTTTATCAAAGCAAACAAGAACAGTATGTGATCCAAACATATAGCTCAATGAGGTAACTGGATTTTCAAGACAATATTCTGCATCATTTTAAGGTATTAAAACTCAAAAAGGTGTGTGTTTTAACTGTGAACTTGAGAAGCTGGCATACATAGCAAAGACAATTAATTAATAAAAAAATAAGACAACAGAAATTGTCAACATATGTGTTGCTACTTGCTTCATTTTGCTACACAAGACTCCAGAACGAGGGTAATCTTAGAAAGCACTCCATTTAACATTACAATTCCATGTAAGAAATTAATTGACAACACCATCATTGGCAAACTCACCTAGCATGTCTAGCATACTCCTCATAATTTTCAAGCAGCAGTTTGCCAGCCTGTTCATTCAAAGCTGATTCTGGAAATGGTTCAATTAATAGACACCTAACAACCTGTTAATTATGGTAACATAAAAGTTAACAAGTGCTGAGACCAATAATAATGAATCATGCAAAACTAGATTCAATAAATCAATAAGATCTAAAGAATGAGACTTTGTTTACAAGAACAGCCAAAACACTTACAATGAGGACATGTCGTAATCCAAGACTAGGATTCCAGTCCTTTTTAAGTGTGTTGACACAAATCTCTCCATTGGTTGCAATATTTGGATGGAAAATCTTAGTAAGGAAAAACCCTATAACAATGGCATCATAGGTTTGACCGTGTTACATAAAAGACAGAATAGATGGGAATCTTTGAAGTAGGAAAAGTCAAACAATATACAACTATAGGACAATTAAATGTCTCATAGAAGGTCAACTCTAGACCAAAAAGGAAAAATACAGATTACATAACCAAGTGAAAATAGATAATATAATTCTCTGTCAACAATGTAACCAGCAGATTGTAAAATGGTCCATTAGGAATTTAGGACAGTAACTAAACAAACCTTTGGGTGGAGAGTGTGGAAAATCATGAGACAGCAACAATTTCATGCGGAAAAGTCCATTATCATAAGGAGTCCCAGCTGTAGAACAAATTATTGGTTCAGCATGACTCGTTACATAATGCTCAAACAAAAAATTGAACATAAAGACATACCTGGGCCCTCAATGTCTGCATATATAGTCGAAAAATCATCATCATTTACTACAACTTTAATTCCCTCAGGAGGAGATTCATCTAGATTTTTTAATTCCTTGGCTAGTTGCTTTATAACATTTGGTGGAAGGTTTTCATTAGTTGCCTGAAAGAAAAAAGCACACCTACAATGTAAGAATATTAAAACCCAAAAGTGATTAAGAAAAAGCACATGAAAAAGATCTACATTCAAAGAATCAAAAGCAACTGTTCAGTGAATTCCAGGGTTTAAAAGTTATCTAGTAATTTAATAGTAAATCAAATTATTGATGGGCACAAGCAAATTGTGAATTTAACTGCTAGATATAGTAAACTAGGTGTAAGACAGACCCATAAGCAAGTTAACTTAACAAATAACGTGCTCAGCCAAGCAGTGTAAACTTAATGCATTTCCCCTGACAAAAGAGTGAAAAAACAAAAAAAACAAAAAAAACGCTTACCATCAGAAAAATCCACCTGCTAGCTATATTTTGTTCTGCCACTGAGAAATCGTCCCTTCTTAACCAATTTACTTAATTCTCAAATTTGCTTCTCAGAGCGCAGCAATCATATCACAGAAAAAAGTGTCTGCAAAGGTGTTTCTGATCACAAATAAGTTAAAATCCTAAAATCATATCACATGCATCTGCACATATATAGAAGCACACTATGACAACGTAAGGGAAACCCCATTAGAGACACTTCTACCAAACCAAAAACAACAGAACAGTAGAAAATAAACTAAATTAAATTGCACGGGGTGAAGAATGATATGCCATTTCCACCTGTTCTACACACTAACCTCTTACTAGTCCCTACATATGTATGTGTGTATTAGCAATTTAGCATTTTACCATGAACCAGAAAAACCAATCAACCTGAAACAAATCTCTCAATCAATTGGGTTGGAATCATGGCAGTCAAAATCAAGATCCTAAGTAGGAAAAGGAAAGGGGTCAAAGATCATATAATCTCGGGGTGTAACACGAATTGTAAGATCCTACAAAATTGTGTGTGTGTGTGTGTATGTTGAAATAAATAAATAAATATATATATATATATATATATATATATATATATATATATACATATAAAATAACATAAATAAGAAAAAAAAAAAAAAGACATCAAAGAAACTTAAACATCAATTCATAATCCATATTCAACAAGGTCATGCATAACTCATAAAACAACACAATAGCAACTGACAACAGAACAGGGTGCACAGCACAGGCACCACAAGGAGCAGCAGAACAAGATGAAGAAAAAACAGAAAAAGATGCCACAGAAGAGAGTGGCAGTGGCAGCGCACAGCAGCAGCAATAGAAGAACAAAAACCTGAGGCAGTGCATAGCACAAGACAATTTTGGGGTTGCAGCAGCAGCGCAATGGTTAGGTCTATTTCAGGGTTCTTGCCCTTTTCAAAACAACTAAATCAGAAAACGGGTCATGTGTCAAAACACATAAAAAGGGGTCAAAAGGGACACGGCAGAATCATGCATGCCTACTGATCCTCGATCTTGCATGGTGATTCCACACGATCCTACCAAACTCTGATAGTGCTTGTGAGCCAGCACAGCATGGTGGTTCAGGATCGTGTCTACAAGTCAGCACACAATTTTGACTACCCGGTCGGAATCACAAAACTTCCTTAACAACACACAGTACAAGAAAAACCAAAATAAAGGTAGAAACAACACTCAGTGCAAAGGGCAATCCCCATTGCACACCTACAAATTCCAGAACGACACAAACGTAGAAAATTGGTACACCCATTTTGCTTTACAAAAAGAACCAAAACATTACAAGCCCCTAAGGAAGTGAATTAGCAATTATACCTACACACAGTTTCTTTCTTTCATTCTTTGTGAAAATTGAGCACATACTAGTTGGCACAATCACAGTTCCAGAACCTCGATATATATATATATATATATCACCACACCAAAGAAAGAAACCTCTTAGTCAGATAAAAATGAGACACGATCAAATAGAAAAACCCTAATGAGTAACACGAAAACCCAAGAATCTAAAAATTCAACATGAAACAAATCACATCCCAAAAACCAAAACAGAAGATAAAGCATTGCCGAAAATTCATCAAGCAAGGTGCATCAGATGGAATTTTTTTAAATTAAAAAAACTGAGATGGCTTCAAAGGCTTCAATTTCAACTCAGAATTCCAGAAAGGTAACATTTTGGTAGCACAGTAAGACACAAAATGCAAAACCCACAAAAAAACGAAAAAAAGAAAATGGAAATGCATAGCCAGAAATTTAAAAAACGAAAAAGAAAAAATGGCGATGAGAATTCACCTTCAGAGACAATTTGGTGGGCGAAACCAAAACCTGGGAGAGGAGAGAGAAATTTTGGCGAAAGAGAGAGAACACAACACAAGAGACAGTAAGAAACAAAGAACGATTCGTGACTTTGAGGAGTGAAATTATATTTATTTATTTATTTATTACTCATGAAAATGAAAAGGTAAGACGCTATTGATAATTTAAAAAAATGAAATTATTTAAAAATAATAATTCAAATTAGTGTTTGGCATTATATTTGAGGAGGGCATACCTCATACTCACAGTATATTTTAATATTTAATATTTATTTTTTATAATTTTATTTTAATTAAAAAGGTTTTTCAGAGTCCGATTTAGGATTTAAAAAGTTTTGAGTTTTTATTTAATTCAATTTATAACCTAAAATTATTAGATGAGTGTAAGTAAAAGTAGTGTTTTGCTCAATTGGCATTGGTAAAATGTTGTGGGTCACTTGTTAATCTTTGATGGATATTCTGTTGGTGGTGAAGGTTATTATGTTGGGAAACTAAATAAGGTAGGTTTTATGATTCTTCTTTTTCTATACCCATTCAAAAATAGGGTTTCGTATTTCATGTGAATTTAAGTGATAAACTTTATTTTTGTTGAGTGAGGTGTGTTGTTATCCTAATATAAGTGTGCTAGTTAATTTGGTTTGAAGGTCTAATGTTTGTGTAAATGGGAGTTTGGAAGTGTTTGAAGTACGAGTAATCTTCACCCTTCAATTAAACTGAAAATTTTAATATTAATTGATGTACTAATTGTAAAGTCTTTTTTTATGGTACCCCTTATATATGGTTAATTTTTTTTCCTAATTTAAATTTTTTTAAAATTAAAAATAAAGAGAAAGTTACCAAATAAAGAAATATTACTTTTGAACATGGAGTGAAGGATTTTTACTTTGTGAGAAGGATTAAGTCACATAATTATTCTCAATATTTTTATTTGACTCTTCTAAAATAAAGTATAAAGTGAGTAAGAAAGAAATATATCAATCATTTAATTTAAAATAAATTAAATTTGTCAAACTCTTTAATTTAAATTAATTTGTAAGTAAATTTTTAAATTATTTTTAATTGGATCACTCCAGCAAGTTCAATTCTTTTAAGTATAAAGAATTAATAAAAAAAATTTTAAATAAATAAAGGACTGTATCAATAATTTAATCATTAAGTAAATTCAAATTTTGTTTATTACTTTGTATAAGATTATATTGAATTCAACGAGTGTGGTGACGTAAATCTTTATATGATAAGAATTTATTTAATGAATACTGAATAAAGTTATTATCTAAAGGCATCCTAATCTTCGATAACCTTTTATTTTCTAAAAAAATCCTCCGTTTTATATTTGCAGCAACTCTATACTTCAATAATCAACCAAATAAATACTTCACACAAGCACCAAGCATGCACATAACTGTGATAAAAACAAGAAACTAACATTGGAATCTTTTGGAAAAGAATAAGATTTTATAAAAGATTAAATAGTTTGTCATATTTTAAAAATGGAGAAGAATCTTTTTATACCGATGTAAGTCTAAAAGCTTTTATACCTACTCTGAGCTTTTTGTTTAACTTAAATCTAACGGGTTATAATTTATTACTTATTTAAGTTAAATAAAAGACTCAAATTTAGTGTAAGAGTTTTTAGACTTATATTAGTGTAAGAAGATCTGCCTTTTTAAAAATAGGAAATCAAATAGTAAAATCACATGAAGTTATAAAAAAAAAAAAGGGACATTCAGTTTAGTGCAAATTCCCAAATTCTAAATTATGATCATCAAAATACAGCTGTTATCGCGGTCCTGAAAAAGATGGAATGATTTAAGAGGGGATTGTGGTTTTAAGTAATGTGCAGACATATCGGCACAAAAAATTGAAATATTAATGTCAAACAATCATGTATGTACTATAAAACATGAATCAATAGTTGTTTTTGACATGAATTACACTATTCGGATAATACACTCCTCTGTCCCAATCGTAGCTTACAATAATTCATATGACAAAACTGCAAGCTGGGGAAACAAGACCGATAACACTTTCACGGACACGTTTTAACAAACTCTGTTGCTAATAGTTTGATAAAGAGATTTAAGCTGTGTGTTCCATTTGTCAACGGCAGTGTACTTCTTCATTCCTTTTGAACTGAACCATGAATTTGTGTTGAAAAATACCATGTTACATAAAAATACGAATATAATGAATACTATAAAGGAAGTCAAAATATAAAGGCTGACCTATCAGAGCGTTCTAATAGCCGGTTCACTTGATCAATATGCCCCTGAATTCTGTTATCCAAAATCAGCGACACCAATAGCTGCTCAACATCATGCTCAGGAACATTAAGTTCCTGCAAATTAAATTCATTATATAAAAAGTATTAGACTAACCATAGGTGTCTATTCAATTTAACAAATAAATATTACTAAATGAAAAAGCAACAACAGCTTTTAACACAACCATTTGTACAGGTCAAGGAAGAAAATTGAGGCAGGGAATAGTTGTCTTCCATATATATTTGACTCCCCCCCCCCCCCCCCCCTCTCTTTTTTCTTGGGTTCCTTTAATTTGTTTGATAGTAGTGGAAATACCTTTGATATAAAAGGGATTCTGATCCTGGTATATGGTTTAATGAGCTTCAGTAAGACGTGTGTTCTAATATTCTTTAGCAGATCCTCAATGTAATTTCTGATAAATGGATCATCCATAATGGTTCTTCTATTACTCTGGAAAGCGCATCATGTGATATCCATTTAAAATAAAATATAAGGCCAGAAATGAGGATAAATATTATAGTCAGATTACGGCATGCAATAATCTCATGGCAAACTCAATAAAATTACCTTCAGGATTTTCTCAAATTCCAATATCTCATTCCGTTGATAAGCTGCTATTAAATTTGTCATTGCCAAAATTTCAGGGTCGTTCTTGTATCTGCAGTATATAATATATGCAAGGTGAAAACAGAAAGAAGGAAACACACAACCCTCACCTCAGCGGATAAACAACAGAATCAGAGAAATGAAATAAACAAATCACTCAATACAGAGAGGACTTCCGGTTTAGCCTCCTGCCCATCAAATGGATTTACTTCAGATTCCATCAACATGTTGGCAAGAACAAGGTATCTGACATGTAAATAAGAATTATATTACAAGATGCTAACACAAGATAGATTGAACGGTTTGTTTTGAAGTCGTTGTGTACATAGTCATGTCTGGGATTCAGATTTCAACACGAGAATAGTTGAGCACATATCTAATACATGAGCAGTCAGGCATAAATGTTGAATCTTAAGAAAAATGAGAGACTAGTACCAAGAATTGAGGTAAAAGATGATCATTATTAGAGTGAAGTTCTGTCCAGAAAGACTCTTTCTTGTTGATCTAGAACAGACAAATTATCTCCTAGTTCAGTGCAGTTTGAGAGGCATTGGTTCTCTCCTAACATCCCAATAATTCTCTCCTACTCCCTACATATTGGGTCCAATAAATTTTATAGCCCTCCTCACTCTAACCAAATCATTTGGGCCCATTATTAACAAGTCTAATTTGCCTAATTCATCTAGTATAGACCCTTTTTATTAGGGGTCCATTTACATTATTGCTATCAACACTCCCCCCTAAAGCTTTAACTTTGTCCTCAAGGTGAAAATTTGGAAATGCAGTTTGTAGTAGTTCCCATGAATTCTCGAAATCTGGTAGACCCATCCATTTAACTAGTGCTTCCGCTTCTCCTGCATCATTATACTGCAAGGTTGTAGTTGCAATTCCCAATATTCCAAAAGTGCTGCTAGAAATGGCTGAGGATGGAGACCTGTTGTAACAGCCTTTTTGAGGAGACTAACATAGAAAACTGGATAAACTCTACTGTGTTTTGGTAATTGTAGGTTTGTCAGCAACTTGTCTGATTCTCTCCATCACCTTTATAAGGTCCATAAAATCTGGATGATAATAGCTTCTCATTTCTCCCTATATGGTTGAACTTTAAGGTGCACCCAATCATCCACTTTAAGTTCAAACTCTCTCCTCCTTTTGTTAACTTTCTGTTTAATCCTATTTTGAGCATTTTCCCTTCTAGATTTGAGTCTGTCCAACATCAAATCTGTCTCGATTCACATTTGATTTGCCTCCTCCACCTTAGAAGGAAAAGCGCCTTCTTTAAATAGCAATGGAAGGTCTCTTCCATAAAAAGCTTGAAAAGGTGTCATCTTGGTTGAGCTGTGGTAATTAATATTAAACCAATACTTGTCCATTAGCTTTGTAAATACTGTGATTTTGGAAAGGTGTCATCTTGGTTGAGCTGTGGTAATTAATATTAAACCAATACTCGGTCCATTAGCTTTGTAAATACTGTGATTTTGGAAAGGTGTCATCTTGGTTGAGATATACTGTGATTTCATTAGAAAGATCTTATCTAAAGACATCGCTGGTGCATAGGATTTTTCTTATATGCTCTAGCTAGAAGGAGAGTGCTGGAAATATGTAATTATAAGTGTTATAAATAGAAAAATTACTCTCTTTATAATTCTGGTAATTGAGCAACCGTATATTCTATATAAATGATTCATATTATAAAATACATGCTCCATTTTATAGTTTAAACACAGATTCATTCTTTCTCTCATTCCTTTTACTTCTCAATAGGGTCCAATACATTATATAGCTGCCCTCACTCTAACTAAATCATCTAGGCTCATTATTAAAAGGCCCATTTTTCCTAATCCACCTAGTATAATAGAACTTTTTTATTATGGGTCTATTTACATTATTGCTATAAAACAATTGATGAGGGGTTACAAAGACAAGCATACTATATGTCTTTATACTATATAGTTTAATGGAAATCATAGTTCAAATTAGTTATTCATGATTAATTACATCCTTTTTATATGCTGAAGTGAAATGTATAGTGATTGCGGTATACACTGTTTGAAATTAATAGCATAAGAATATTATTTACACCTACTTCAAGCATTGGATACGTCTCTGATTCCCAGCGTCATCATAATTCTTAAAAGCTTCAAAGAAGTCAGTAGCTGCTTCTGCCCACTGGCGCTCTGCCATATGCATTTTACCCCCACATTCATGGATTATTCCCATTATTCTTGGATGGGGAATTGCTGACTTAATAGTGAGTGCTTTCTGGTAAAGTTGCTGCATTTAATACAATGGAGAGTAGAGTCTGATAAATGCCAGCAAAACTAAGCATACGAGTAACTGATCCATAAAATAACTCAGAAGAGGATCATAGATTAAGAGCAAAATTAAAAATTACTAATCATATTAACATCCCCTGATCATCAAAAGATATAAAGATATAAACTAGTCACACATCACAAGAAAATACCAAAATCGACAACCAACACAATCCATTGAATAACGCAATGACAAATTATGCTTTGCTTAAATTTCCCACTGTTAACAATCATAGCCAAAATTGTTGTTTGTTGTCTACACAATAGGTCAAACATCATAAGGGAACTCAGGCTGCCACAAATTTAGGCAGGAAGATGGTATATCCTGAGCATCACTGGTTCAATTAATAATTTTGAGTTGAGCATTAAACTCAAAATTTACCTCATCCATCATTTTACCTCACATTCAAGATTGAACATATGGTGCGTGAAATTTGCAGGATTGGACATTTGCATGAGTGGACCCAATTGGATATCTGTTCAAACTAAATAAGCTCTAATACTATGTTAAAAAATTTGAGCCTAACTCACTTCCAAAAGCTAGCTCATAGGAGGAGGACTGTCCTATCCCTTATAGGGACTATTCTGACTCTATTCCTAATTAATGTGAGACATCTTAACACTATGTATTACTACTAACTATTAAGTTAAAATAACACATTTTTAGTTTCACCAGTACTTGATTCATTTACCAAGCAATGTGCATGCAGCAGACAGTCCTTGCCACATGAAAAAAACAGAAGCAAGATAAAGCTGTGAATTATCTTCACTCTGGGGATGAGTTCTAAAGCATCATGTATTTGATCAAGTTTTTTCATCAACATGGACTTTAAAAAAGATTGTTTCATGATTACATCAAGCAAGTAAATTACCTCAAAACTATGCCACTGTTTCTTTATTTCCTTCATTTTTCTTTTTCTTTTTTTTTCTATTTATCTTTTTTAGTATTTTCTTCGTAGTCCCACACTTGTAATTGACGTTTTCCTCTTAGTAGAGAGTGTAGAACACATTAATCATGTGCATGAAAAACTATGAATAAATGATTAAAGTTCATGTTTGGTCCGACTTACTTTGAAGAAATAATCATTTTTTTTTTCTTTTGCAGATGGTATAGTCTTTTTAGGAGAGTTGAGAGAAAAAATGAATGGAAAATTGAAGATTTGGAGACAAACCTTGGAAATATACAGATTCTGACCAAATTGAAGTTAGACAAAATATATGAAATGCAAGTTTAGCAAGAGACACCAATTCTAGCTTAGAGGTAAAAACTAGAGAACATACAATGCTACAGATTGCACATTTAAGTACCTTGGATCCATCATACAAAATGATGAGAAGATAGAGTAGAGACTAGAGAGTAATGTCAGCCAGATCTAAGTAGGGTGGATGAATTGTAGTGATACTTTATTGTGATATGTGATAGAACATTACCCCTCAAGCTTAAAGGAAAATCTTACCACACAATTATAAGACTTGCAATGCTATAGGGGAGGGGGACTGAGTGTTGGTAAGCTAAAAGCCACGAAAGAAAGATGTAAACTTAATGCTTCAGAGATAAGAAATAGATGAGTGTTTAAACAAGATAAGATAGGATTAGGAATACTATCATATCAGATAATGTTGGGGTAGCCCCCTATTGTAGAGAAAATGGTAGTCTCATAATCTTTGATGGTTTGGGGATTTGGGCATGTGTGGAGAAGACTTACAGAAGCACCAGTAAGGAGGGTTGACCAGATGGAAGATAGTCAAATAATTAACGGTATCTTGAGGGAGAGTGTGGAGAACAATGTATATACAGTAACTATGTAAATAAGGTAACTACATAGATGGCATGATTTTATATAAAATAATATTATGTAAAATTAGGTAAACATTGAGTATTATTGTAAATAGATAGCTCCACTGTGTATTCCAACAAACAAATTCATCATATCTCTCTCTCAACACGAGGGAATTTACATTGCACTAACCACCATTAATTCTTGAAACTACACTTCTTTCTATATGTTCTTTTCATCTGTACAAACTTTTACCTAAGACTATACAAGGAGTGTATATGCCTGATAAAAAAACATTAAAAGGGGCTGTTTGACTGGTAAATATTCAAAGCTAGAGAAAAAGTCAATACAATGCGTTTCATCAAAACTCAATGGATATTTCCATGATTTGTTCATTCTTTATTTATTTAACAAAAAATAAAATAGAAGATAGGTTTTTGTTTTATTGGGATTTTTCGGACTAGATTCTGCATTTAACATCAACAACCAACCCTTATTCCAGTAGGTGAGGTTAACTACATGAATTACACAACGTCACTCAGCCAAAAATCAAATTCTCATAATCAAATTTTTTTATTTTGTTAATTATTTTCTCTCTATGCATCCCATTTTGTCTTTTATCTTTCTATATATATATATATATTAAAAAGGTTAAAAATTGTTTAAAGGTGAAAGTAGCATATATCAGATATGTTTTTCTTTATTGAATATGGTTAGTACTTAGTAGAGATAACTCAAATAACAACTTCACGAGTTCTTCAGTCAAAATTGTAATCCTCATCAAAGACCCTAGTTTTCTTAATTATCAGTTTTTCCAACAAATAATTAATTGTAAATTCCCACCAAAATGATTGATTTTCAGTGAATCTCAGCTTATTTGGTATTTTTAAGTTATATAAAAATAAATAGATCAAGCCTCACCCCCCTTGTATTCAAATGAACTGAAAGCAAATAAAGGAACAGAGAAAGAAGTTATATTTTCATTTTTCATAAATCTAAATCTTCGGGACTTTTTTCTATGTAAAAATATCTAGATTTTTTCTTAATAATCTATAAAGAGAGGGAATTGAAACAAACAAGTTAATTATTTTAGAATCAAATAGAGTGTATTGTACATTGTGCCCGGCCTGCCATATAAATGTTCAATACAGCAAAGCATTTAGATGTCTCACTTTGAATAGCTCTATATTAAATTCCAGATGATGTTAGTGTCTTCAGTCTTCAATGAACTAAGATAAAAAGTTAATACTAAAAAATTCTGCTTACCTCTCAGGCATTAAGTAAAGTCGGCAAGAAGGTTCAAGTATAAATTGGAGGCAAACACACTTCAGAACTTGAAAAGACATATAGTTACTTAAATCATGCAAGTTAAAGAACAAAAGTTTCATTTTAAACACAAATTCTGACCTTGAGCATTTTGTTGTTTTTGGTCTCGGTGTACATTTGAATCTCTATAGCATAAACCTCCAAAAGTTGGGTTCCTTTCTTATGGTCATCTGTGCCATCTTCTCTTTGACAAGATTTGTGAAGTTCCTTCAAGATCTGGCAGGGCTCATCAAATCTTTAAACCATTAAACACTATATGCCACTAACAAACATAAAAAGGCATCCAAATTAAGTTAAACAGTCAGTTATATGCAAAAATAATATATCACCTTATTCATACGTCCATATTCACCAATATCAAAAAAGATCTTGCAAAGCTTCAGATTTGTCTTAAACCACAATCTCTGCATAGTGAGTGAAATACCAAAATTATCAGATCACATCAATGAGAGAAATAAGATTCAAGATACAATAAAGAAATGTCCATTGGACTAACCTCATTCTTTGCCTCTTCAAGGGCCTTCAGAGTTGTCTGGTAGAATTCCTGCAGAAGCCCAAAGTTCTGGCTTGCTGAACCTGAGACATAGTCCATAATGCTGTTTATGCATTTTTCACTGTAGTTACGAGTCACTGCTGACTTAATATATGTCAACATCTCCCTATAGGCTTCCATCATCTCTTTATACCTTCCCAGTCGATAATAGAGCTTGACAGTCTGTTTTAGAGCTTTAAATCCCCTGATAAAATTAAGAATGAAAAATAAAAGTAAATTGTAATGGTTTCTCATCACTGAAGAAAGATTCTCAGACAAAAGTCATTATGTGGTACATGGAGTACAAGAAACAATAGACACATAACTAGACAGATACATTCACGTTAGAGCATAGTTACCTAATATGCAATTCTCTTTGGTACAAGTATGTCGTACACAGTTGGCAGTACCTTATTATATAAAATATATGGTACAATAGGTGTATAATTATGCTATTTTAGTTTGCTTTTTGATGTATGAAGAGTGCTAGGAACACACTTCTAATTATTGGCTAAAATTTATTAAAAACTACAAAAGAATGAAAGAAAATCATTAAATAAAATGAGAAAGAGTGAGACTCACATGATTTCTATAGTTTTTAATAAACTTTAGCCAATAACTAAGTGTGTATTAGAGAGTATGTTACTAATATTTCTCTTTGAAGTATTATTTGGTACATTTTTATTATATTCTTTAAAAAGAAAACTACATTATAAAATTTTTAAGTGCTTGCTATGGTACCCGTAAACTTGAGAGAATATTCTATACCCTTCTTAGATTAACGGTTGTGATTACTCTTATATCTTAAAGATGAAAGGGTATTGATGTCTTTTTAAACTAAAAGACTAACTCCACAACCTATTAACATAAAATTAAAGGTGAAGATTATTCTAAGTACAAGAGAGGGTACTAAACCCTCTCAATTGTAGAGGATACCGTAAATTTTATCAAATTTTTAACTCAATATTTAAAATATTATAAAGATAATAATCTTAAGAAAAAATTAGCTTCAATTTAATATTTTAAATAAATTTTATTATTTTATTTTTTATGTGTTTTTATTTATTATTATCTTCTTCTTTCTCCTTATCTGGTTGTTAATTCTTATTTTTATTTTAATTAAATTAAACTACTTAATTCAATGCACCTACCGCTTAGGTTAAGGGAGATTTTATTCAATACCCATTCCCAATATTGGTGGACTTTTATTTGTGAAGTTCCTTTCACCTTTTGTGTTGCCAACCCCTTCACCTTTTAGCTTTCATGTTCCCAACCCTTTCATATACCCAATGCTATAGCAACACCATGCCTCTAATCCCAAACGCCCATGCTAGCATCCCAACCTAGGTATCGCAATGAACTGGTATGAATCCGTAACGCAAATCAACACACACCATGCATTTTGCCATAGGGGGTTGAGCAAATTAGGTAACAGTGTCAGAAATCTTCCAATTTAATCAAGCAGATGTTTCCACCATAAACATTTGGTGAGCCAGTATGAGACAGGTAAATACTGAATGAGGATGAGCTTAGAAACTTATAACAGCAATTACAATCCTTTATAGGGAATCCAGGAAATACAAATTAAATAAAAACTAAATATTGACTTAAAAAACTAGATGTATTTATCAAAGAGAGGTGCTATTTACCACAATGGATACTATACAAACTGGATTATAAATGCACAATTAACTATTATAGTATCAGATTAGAGTAAATCATTTATAAAGATGGAGTTCACGATTTAAAAGTTGATATATAAATATATATATATATATATATATGGGATAACATCCATTGACACCAGTTGTAAGTCTAAAAGACTTACACCAAATTCCAACTTTACAAATCAATAATCTAACAGTTGAAAGTTACCAGTTGTTTGACCAAAATAATAAAGTACAAGCACGTAGAAAGAGATAATTTTTTAACCGTTAGATTATTGATTTGTACGGTTGAGATTTGGTGTAGACTTACACCTGATGTCGATGGATCTTATTTATATATATATACACACATATAGAGAAGGATCTTCTTACACCAGTGTAAGTCTAAAAACTCTTACACCCAATCTGAACCTTCCATTTAACTTACATCTAATGGGTTATAATTTATTACTTCACTGGCCGTCAGATTTAAGTTAGAAACTTCAGATTGAGTGTAAGAAGATCATATATATATATATATATATATATATATATATTAGATCAAATCGATTCAGTGCATGCGTTTGAGGAATTCCATTCATAATATCTAGCATTGTTCTTCACTAAATGCAATCATGTTAGACTGGCAAGCAAAAGGAAAAGGAAACCTTCTTCAATAGATACTAAGTCCTGCAACGAATAATGATATATCGAGAAAGTTCTTTACATCCACAATCCAAATCTTATTATTATTATTATTATATTATGCAGCATTCAGAGATAAGAGTTCCTACCATTCCGCCTTATCTTGTTCCATTTGCACTACCTGAGCAAAACCAGCAAGTGCACCTTCTGGATCAGTTTCAACCATACCTATATGCAAACAAAAAAATATCATCCTCAAGTCAATTACAAAAATTGATCAACCTTCCGTAAACCAGAAACAGGCCAAACAAAATCTCACAAGTTCCTCAAATTCCACGAGAAACAAACATAGAAGGACTTGCTGGTGAATGCATCCAACAACAGAACACTGAACTGAACAGACAAGAAGAGCAATACAACTCCAAAAGAAAACTAAGCTTTTTTTTTCCTAATTCATAAATAGATCAAATAATACACTAAATTTGTCCCTGAAATTACATAACCGATCAACATAGTCTCTTAAATTAGAAAACATGTTATTTTAGTACCTAAATATAATAACTAATATTTGAACAAAATTAACGACATGCTGTTTAATCAGAAAACAAGTGTGTGGTTTCTAATGCATAACCGTTAGAAAAAAAAACCTTTAGAATTATAATATTGATTCTCAATATCAACGTCTTGCTCCTCTTGCTCCTCATCCGAGTACTCAAAGCCATAGTCCTCCATGTCAGCATCTACATAATCGATCAGACACTTAATTTCATCACTAAAAATGCGTACATCAAAATCATCATCAACAACAACTACTACAACGCATACCAGAAGCCATATTGTGCGTGAAATGGATTGAGAATCGAGGTTTTAGGGCTTCGATGGTAACGAGTAATAGGAAGTGAGTGTTTGCAATTGCAAGTCCTCCACGGTGCTCAAAATCCGGTGACGATATCGGTGAAGGGAAGCCGGAGGAGTAACAATAGCTACTTCCTACTACCTTCTGTGGCCCAATTCCATTTTGGGCTGGCTGGTCCAATGAAATAGAATAATGTCTTTTCACAAAAAGAAAAATAATAATTTGTTTTTTATCAGACCGAAAAAGATTTATTTTATTTTATATACATGGAAGAGATTTAGGGAATAAATTTTAGTTAACTTATTTTATTTAATATTTTTATACATTAAATTTTATTAATCTAATAATTATTTCATGTAAGTTTATTTTTATAATTATATTTATAAAATTTTAAATAAACTAAAATTTTATAAGTATGTAATATCATAGCTGATATATACTTATATTTTAAAAAATATATTATACATTAAATAATTTATTTGATGAAGTATGAAATAGATTTTAAATATTATAAAATTTACTCTTAATCAAAGTGAGGTAGTCAAAACTTACTCTTAATGTTTAATCAAGCTTGACTATAAGTTTAGCAAAATTTCACTTAGTCTTTCTATTTCTACCTTTTAGTTAGGTCTTTTTTTATTGTAGATTATTATCAATTTCTTATCATATTCTTCTCAAATTTTAATAATTAAACTACTCAAAAAAGTGGTTTCGTATAATTTTTTATTCATTCTTATAAAAAAAACATATCTACAAAGCAAGTTTTATTATTTGTTTATTCTTTTTCAATTAAGCAATGCATTCAGAGATTATCTCTTACATCTTCTAATACTCTACACCGTTTTATTGATGAAAATGGTAAGGAATGATTCGTTTAAGAGAATAATTTTTAATTTTACATTTTTATTATAAAATTATCATCTTGTTTGCATTTCATTTTCTGTTTTTAAACATTTGTACGGAAACAGTGAAAATATTTGTTTATTATTTTACATCCAAATATTTAAAAGTAAAAAAAAAAGAAAAGATATCAAACTTGTAATAAAAAGTTAAAACAAAAAACAATTTATGAAATCAAACAGTTCCTAGAGTGCTTTAAATCTCATCATCGAAAACATTATTATACTTTCTTTGATTTTTTTATAAGACAATTTTAAAAGTTTTAGCAGTATTTATTAAATAGTATTTTATGATTTCAATGAAGCATTTTTTCCCCTTATTTTCCTTTAATAAATAGAATTTGGAGGGATCAAAAACAAAAACTAACAAAGAAAGAAACAATTGTCTTGGTGTCACATATAATTTACTCATTTTTTTTTGCTCATGAGTTTTACGTTTTGTTATTTGTTATGGTACCTTCAAATTTGAAAGAAGATACTGGTACCTATTATATACATAAATTTACAAAATTTAACAAGTATATTTTAACTTTCCGTTCCTATTCTAATGGGTTAATATCATTAATTGCTCAAGCTAAATGCTAAAAATGAATTCAAAGATAAAAGGTGAGTGTTAAAATATACGTTACATTGAACTTCTCAATAATTTAGAAAGCATTTCAAAATCTTAAAACTACTACTTACCATTGCTTACATGACTCCATTTTGGTTTACTAACTACAGGATTTTATAAAAAAGAGGTCAATATATTAAAATATTAATAAAAAATTAGTCAACTTTTGAAACTTTTTACTTGCTTTTTAAACTAAAAATAGCAATTTAAATAAATTTTATTAATACCTTCAAATTATATGTTTCAAATTATTATTATTAATAATAAAATAAAAGAGTACTAAGATTATTTCTAATTTTAAATTACTCTAGAAGTTAATACCTTTTAACTTTGTTTTTCAATTCAAATAACACATTTTTCTTAACACACTATAATTATTGCTTAAAATTTATTGAAAATTATGAACAAGAGTTATTAAATTAAGAGTGAAACACACGTAATTTGGTGATTTTAAATAAATTTCAACAAATAATAAAAAATGTTTGTGAGTGTATTGGTTTGCATATGGGATCTGCTGTGATGATGATGTTGAAGTCTAAAATACAAATGCCTACAATCAAAAGCTTTTTGGAAGTATTGGCACATTTCTTTTTGCTGTTGCTGTCGTTAATGGTCATGGCTATTCATTTTACTTGCTAGTGACCTGCCATTAGTATTTAAGACTTCAAGAACCTCACCACAAAGAATACCTAACTAGAAATTAAGAAATATATATTTTAATATATGAATAATAGACAGTGAGACCAAACCTCTTCCTTAGAGAATGCATCATAACAAATTTCCTTGCGGATTCATCATTTGGGATTAAATGAAAGATAATAATTAAGCCTTATTGCGCTTGTTCTTATAGGGGAATCAAGCCATTACTTTAGTATTCTTATGCTGAGTATGCCATGCCCTTGCTATTAATGGAACTTATCCCATCAATCAAAGATGTTTTTTCATTGGTTATCAATATAAACTAGCATACTCTAACTCTGCTCTTCTTTCCACAATTGAACACCAACTCGCGTTAGAACTCTGTTATGGACTATATATAACTACTTTTTGACTAAACTACAGTTCTAGTTTCGCATTTGAAATAAAAAAACCTTAGGAGAGTTGTCCTTTCTAAGGCCTTAAGGAATTAGATATCAACTTATCAAAGAGGCATCATTGTTACATTCAACAGTGCTAAAGAAGAATAGCCACTGATTTTTTAATGAGATCCATATGAAATTTGGTTAGAATAAAGTGTCTTAAAATAATTTCAAACACTGTTTCTAACATTGCTAAAAACAACTCGCTTAATAACAGAAATACATTACAATTTAGTGTTTCTAATCCTGCGATTGCAGACAAAAATAAGGTGCTAAATAAAAGATAAACTCAATGGTGAGCACAAGTGGAATTGTGAGACAGAATTCAATACTAAAATCAATGAAGGTCGGTATTTAAAGCACTTCAAAACATTTCTCCCCATAAACAGGAAATCAACAAAGGCATTAAATCATAAAGAAGCATACAAAATCCAACTATTGAAGCCTTTGCATTTCCTATAGATGTTCCAAATGCTCAGTTACAAGTTACGAAATACAACGTTTGAATAAACATTTTTAATCTATTAATCTGCATCCATTTCCTCAAGAGCTGCTTTGGCTGCTGCTTTTGCTTCTTCTAGAAGGTCATCTGGGACCTATACAAGATCAATTAAGTAAGCATATAGACTAACAAAAAATTATAATTTCTTGCAAACAGTTGCAAAGCCAGAGAAGTGGCCACCAGTTAAAATAGAAAAACAAAACCAACATTCTAACTCAAGTTAGCCTCATGTGGGAGTGAAGACTGAAGACTTCACTAGAAAGCATTATAGCTTCCAGTGAAACTTGTTAAACTCAAGACAAGAAACTGTCCATTCTTTCGAAATGGAAATGATTTGAACAGCGAAACTGTCCACTAACATTCCAAGTATGTCTCGTGAGAGAATTCAAAGGACAAGGGTGCTACAGGTGCAGGGCCTACTTGGAAGAGCACATGATCAGCTAATGTAAATAGTTTGTGACTAAGTTCTTTTTAGCTTATTCCAATAAGCTTCTGAATACATCATTAAAATAAGTTGTTTTCATCCAACTCCAATGACATAAGTCATCATGTTAAAAAAGCTCATAAAATAAGAATTTAATTAAGTTGTGTATCCAAATGCACCAACCATGTGCTCCTTTTTATGACAGGAAGGAAAAATTTGCAAACAGAACTCAATATAACTGACAGAAGGTACAAAAAACCAATCCATATTGAGGAAGTCCTTTGCTAGAAATGTTTATGCCAACACAACAATGATGGTCCAGAAACATTCCATAGATAAATTTCATGAGAATAGGTAGGGTGTTAAAAGAGTACACACACAAGCATATTTAGCAACATTTATCTGGACCCCATATTCATAATAGAGAGGCTTTGTAGTAAAGAAACACCTAATCCTTTTAACCCAAAAGAAATAGTGAGTGAGTGATCAGAGTTGCAAGGAGGTAGTTTCAGTCCAGCACACTCAATTTGTATTCATCAAATTAAAGTCTTGGATCAGCTCCAGATATAATTTAAATGCCAGCAATACACAACTCCTTTCCTCATGTTAGCAGCCAACTACTTTTAATGTTCTCCCCCTTCCCCCAACTTAACACTTATGCCCCACCAGTATACCCTCCATAAAGAATTTTCTTCACTCTTTTCCTCCTTCCTCTCAATCAGGAAATAAGACTAGGTAAGGAAATTGCTAGATAAGGAAGCAAAAGAAACAAATAAAAAAATTACAGTTCATAAACAAATCACAGTTCATGGAAACAATTTTTTCCTTAATAAAAAGTAACTAAAAGACACCTAGCCTTACCTTTTCATGTTGGCGGTTTGATTCATCACACACCCAGCTCATTTCTAGCTCAAAGTCTTTGTCCTTTGCCTCATCATGAACACCATATATACTGCTTGGCACAAACAAATGCAAAAATTTGTTGGAACAACTAACATCAAGCAATTGACTTAGATAAGGAGTAGCATGTCATGATAAAAGATTCCCCTTTTTTCAGAGAAAAGCCCCAAGGTAAGGCTATCCATCCAATAAAATACGGATAAATATAATTTCAAAGTAAAAAAAAAAAAGAAGGAAATTTCTTATATAAATTAGCTTGAAAGTTGCAAAAAAACAAATTGAAACTCAAAATCTCAATGCCCAGAGCTCTCTGTCATTCCAGTAACTGTAAAACATAAATTACCCATAAGAGCTATTTGGAAAATATTATAATTTTTCTTTTGGTTGGATAAAAATCAATTCTTGTTACTTCACAGTTTTTAAGTCTTGATAAGGACAAACAAGCACACTACAAAATCCTAGAACTTCCTATTCCTTCTCATGTTCAGTTTTACAATGTTACCTTGATCCTGTAATGCTATTAGAAGTTCCAAAGGAAAATTGTACGGAGCATTTTTATCCTATAACCTCAATTTTCTAATTATTATTAGTTGCCAACATTGTTTTCACTGATACTCTAATCACAATCAGTATTATAAAGAGAGACAGAAGGATGCATCAAAATACAAAATTGGGCGACTCTCAAATTATGAATATAAAAGTAAAGGAACTACACATACTATAACCAATAATCATGCCACTTACATCTTTGCTACTTCAATAACCCCTTGTCGACAAGTCATATCAGCAAGCTTTAATTTTTCAATCTCTCTGCCAAGAAATTAACAAGTTCATATTAGAATCATATTGAACGTAAGTCTGATAATTCAAGATCATATTAGAATCAGGTCACAAGTTCATACTAATTGAAATATTTTCAAGGTAACAACAAGAAAGCTTTGATCTTAAACTAATGCAATGCAGCATAAGAAATCACTACAGTAGCAATAACTTTAAGGAAAAAGGAAATAAAAGCATATTATATTATTCACATAAACAAAATATTTCAAACATGTATAATATACATGAACTTCCTGTCCTGTGTTAAGAGACACAGCAAATATGCAATTTTTCGTATTTATCAAAATATAAACATCAATTTTACAACTTACAAGCATACAAAGGAATGGAGATGATGCAGAAGTGAGCAAACAAAATAAACCTTGACACATCTGAGCATACACATAAACCAAATTCTACAGTTTTATTTGATACCTTCCCCGGACCCATAATGGCAGAAGTCTCATGCACTGAGCCACCTTTTGTTATTGACAGAACGAATTTTAACTTCCACCCACCATATTCCAAAAGAGACACAAGGGTAAAAATTTGTACAATTGGAGATGTTGGTCATGCTTCCACTGCCATTTGAATCCCCTTTCCCACCCGATTGCCACACATAGTGAAAAGCTGAAAATAGGTCTACATCTATAACAACCTAATATAACCAAGTCATTTTGGGTTTATAACAATAATTAGGAATTTGGTTCAGTGGTTCAGAGTCCACTATTTTCAGTGTCTGGATGAAAATGGCCCGAGGAATGCATCAAGAGGTGCAAGTGAGATATTTTGCATTGGAGTCAATGGCTAAATGATTCAGGAGCAAAATCTAATTTATATTAGTTTTTCCTTGCTTTTGTTCATTCATTTCAATCAATTAGAACTTAGAAGCAGATATCAATAATGAAAACAGGGGGGGGAGGGAATTGAACTAATGCATTATCAATTGGTCTAATACTTTGTTATTCCACAAATAAGACAATCTCGATAAGTGATGATTCTAAGAAGGTCTACTGCTATCTTGCCCAAGCTTCAGGAGCTTAATCCATTAATTCATAAACCAAGATCCCACTTAACAGCAACTCCATGTAGTTATTAGATAGTATGGAATATACTTGTTATAGAATACAAAACATCATTTAAGAGAAATCTATGGATACAAATGGGAAGTGGATTAGATATCACCTTTAGCAAGGAGAGTAAGAAGGAAAATATACATGTTCAATTTGGTGCGGTATTACATATTTACATTATAAGTAGAGTATATTTACTTACGTTTTAGCAGCCTGTCTCCCTTTCCCAATTGCAGCACCAAAATACCTCTAGAACAAATACCAAATAAACAAATCAATTAAAAAATATCACATGGAACTGACAAAATAGAGTATCAATAGCTCTAGTAATTACAAAGAAGTCTGGAAGTTTCTGTCAAATAAAAAGTAGACTCACATAGGAAACGCCAGAAGGTTCAACCATGTACAATTGTGGTCCATCCCTGTCATAACCTCCAAGTATGACACCACATCCAAAAGGTCTGCAGGCATCATTATAGATCTATTAATAATAAGAAATATGACAAACTACAAATTCAAAAGGACTACAATGCATTCAGTCTCATTGAACCTGAGCCACCAATATAGCGTACAAAGGTGCACATAACTAGCCACACGTTCAGCAAGTTCCTTAACAGGAATTGGTTCGCCATAGACACTGTAAAGAAATATAAGCCATAATAAACATCTTTTTCTTTTCAAAAGTTGAACACAAATATCCAATTAACCTCAGAGTTAAGGGATCCTTATACTTCAGACATGCCATAATGCAGCACATAATGAATACAATATAAAAAAAAGAAAAAGATCTTCAACTAGATAAAATATACATAACTGCAATAAACAGAAAATTTTAGCATTAGGGTGTTAACACATTTTAACCTCCTTTCCCAGGATCCAATTATGTCTTTCAATAAAAACATAAAGATGGCTGTGTATTGAAATTTGAAAACAAGCATGAAATGCACGGCTTCCATGGTAAGCTTCATTTCAATGATTCAATCCAGGGCCAAACATTACCAATGATTCAGATGTTCAAGAACAGTGAACTATTTGAAGGTGTTGATTGCAATGCCCCATTTAAAGCTCTATTTTTAGTACATACAACAACTTTGATTAGATTTCAGTTAGTAAAAATTTATGTAACAGTGTAACACAAGGTCTATTGTTATCACTCAGTGTGTTATGCAAAAATCTGGTGTATAGGCCACAGATGACTGTTTCAGTAGATGCTCATGCTATTCAGCTATTTTTAACTCCAATGGAAGAGAATTATGGTAACCTAAAATGATTCATGAAATTTGCTAGCGATCACTTATTTTTTTGTGGGATGAAGGGATAAAAAATCAAAACTTATAAGGCTGACTTCAAAAGTACAAACAGGGTTGAGTTGTGCAACAGGGACTCAATTAGTCCATCAAAAATAATAATTGGTGAAATCTAGCTACTACTTTTTTCATGAGAAAAATATAGCTAAATGAAAAGAATTTATAATTATGTTGAGTTCAAAATCAAAACAAGGCTAACTTACTTTACAAAGTTTCAATTAGTCCATCAATCCTTCATGGCAGTAGCCCAACAAAAGGATAGAGAATTCAGTTGGTAAAGACAACAAACGAATATGCATGTTAAGATAAATATAAATCATCAAATATAAATATTGCAAAAATGAGGTAAACCTGTCATAGTTAGTTGCTTCAGACTTAGCCCTAGCAACAATTTGCCTTCCATCAGCTGCTAATCCTGCTACAGCCTAAAATTGGAAGAAGATTCATACATACATACATACATCAAAAGAAGTCCAAAACATAAAATCAATTCATAGTCAAGCTAGTAAACAAAATGCAAGTAAAATCACATCTCTAATATGCAAATCTCAGCGGTAATTGAAGAATCAAAACAAACAGCAAAAGCAACAAAAAGTTTAAATAAGAAAAAAGCAACAAGATGCTTAAAAAATAAAAAAAATGTAAATGGCAAAGTACCATCCCGGAGTGACGATGAACCGAATGTATTCTTCTATTGGAACCCGGGAGCATCATTTTCGATGGAATAAGCTTCTCAACGCCCTAAAACCGAACCCCGTGTCAAAAAAACAAAAAAAGGCAACACCCAAATACCAGAAAATTTCAAAATAACCTACCAACACAACACCATCTTTGCATTTGATCCCAATAACAGTCCTGCATCAAAGCTCCAAATCTAAGATCACTAACAAACACAAAAACTGAAAAATATATATAAAAAAAAAAAAAAACTTTTTTTTTCCAAAACCCATCATTCAACTTCCCGAAAAACCAAAACCCTTCATTTTAATTTTTTTTTTTCAAAACCCATCATTCAATTTCTGAAAAAATAAACAAACCCCATTATTCGTATTATTATTATTATTAAAATACTTGTGAATTATAAAAAGGTGGTTAATGTGGAAAGAAAAGAAGTACCCGCTATTGTCGACGGCTTTGGCAGCGTACTCGATCTGGAAAACGCGGCCATCGGGAGAGAAAGTAGTGACGGATAGATCGTAACCTGTTCCGATGCTACTCATATTTTGAACGCTTGATTTTGCTCTTTCTTCTTTCTTCTTCGACGACTCTCTGCAGAGTGAAGTGCAGAGGAAATGAATATAAAGGGGGGTTCTTGCTTGCTCAACGAGTTAACTCAACTGCGTCAGTGAAAAAATAAAGGGAATAAATTGCAGGATTCACTCCTTGTTTCTCCGATATTTGTAAAGTGGCCCCTATGAAAATAGGAATAGGAAGTGAAGAACAAAATAGGGCTACTCATTCTCCAGCTGACAAAGTGGGCTGGCCCAACCGGATCTGAATTCACTTTATAAACCAAAAATTTAGCAAATTAAAAATTTTGAACTTTTATCAAGTTTACACATCATTTTATGAGTTTAAAATAAATTTAAAGTTGTGCCTTAAGTTAATTAGAAATAATTTTAATAAAATTAATTTAAAATTATGAGTTTAATTTTAGTGTATTATTAACATAAGTTTTATTTTATCAATTAATGAAAATATATAATGAATATAAATTTTAAATTTTTTATTATTATAAAAGTCAATAATTCTAGTTTATAAGACATGTTATAATTAGATGATAATGTAAAAAAAAAATTATAATGTCAATGAATTTCTATTGAGTTTTTAAAGTATTTAATATAACTGAAATTGCATGTAAATTAATCTTAATTATATTTTTGTACTAGAATGTATATATAGTGAAACAAATTGATATTAAAAGATGAACAAATAGATGTTAAGTTAATTTATTTTAATAATTATAATGTTTTTAATTAACCAAACTTCAAATTCAAAGAAACAAAAGAAAACAGAAAAGTGAAAATTTCCTATTACAAATTCTTTATGAGTCATATTAACTAACAAATTCATTTATTAATTAGCTTCGTGAAACATTAACAATAAATATAACTAATTTCTTGTAATAATATATAAATGGCCTTAATCAAATAGAAAAAGTGGTAAGAAAGATCTTGAACAAATGTATTTAATTGAATAGCCACTTTAGAATTGACTTCTACACATTTTGAATGCTTTCAACTTTAATTAAGTGAATTTTAAATAGGATAACACATTGTTCAACATTGATGGGAGAATATAAGATATTCCAATGAAAATCAAAGCAGGCTCATTGAAGATAAAAGCTTAAAGACATTGGAAGGACTTCAAGAACTAATGACAAGGACAAAGACAAAGAGTATAAAGAGAGACTTAGAAAAAATAATTGTCGTCCTATTTGAAAGAGAGCTCAATTTGGAGTTATAAGAGCCCAAAATAGTCAATTACCTATGCTTAAAGAACTTGTATTCAAATATGCTTCATTAGAATTTAGTTACTATGTTTAGTTTATTTATTTTAATATTAGTCATTACTATATTTGAGTTTTTATTTAGGATAAAATCTTGTTACTTTATTTAGTTTATTTAGATTTGGATTGTTGCAACAAGAAGCCCGTTATGGTTGTGTTTGTATTGGTTTATAAGCGTTAGATATATATAAGCTCTTATAAACATACTTTTAATTAGTTTTGAATACAATTTGAGATTGAACACTCTTGTGAAAGTAGGTGACTCTAGGTTATTGAGTAAGCCAATTTTTATTTTATTTTATCAAGAGGCCAAGACTCTTGTGGTGATCTTTCTTTGGCTTATCAATCTTGCGATTGTGACACTATTTTTCATTTCTATTCTATTTTTACACCTTTTGAGAAGGAGGGTAAATGATACATTGCTTAGGGTCCCTAAAACTAAGAAGCCAACTGTCTGTCCAAAATTTAGCATGCATTCCATCACCAATTTTCCAATGCCAACCCTTATCAACCCAAGGATAAACATGAGAAGGTCCATGTAAAGATTCTTAAAATAGTTAACAATCTCAAGATCATATTCTAAATTTTTATCACTATTTTTAAGAACTTAACTTTATTTTTTGTCTACAAAAAGCAACTGCTTAGGATAATTTTATTTGTTTTGGACCTTAGTTAATAATTCTATCTATTTCTTGTATTTTAGTACTTTTGATTATTTTTGTCATAACTCCTGATGTAGGTAGAACTTTCAATGATTCTTATTGTGTTAGAAAGCTACCTCAAAGTACTTTAATTTGACACCTCATTCACTGAATTTGGAGTTCTATGTAATATCCTAATTTTTATTTGCATTTCTTTATTTTCAAAATACAAGAGTTTTCTAAAAATAAAAAATAAAAAAAGAATAAAAGAATATTCCTTTTAGTTCAAGCAAAAAATGATTAAATTTTCACACCTGTACTTTCGCTTAAGCGAGAAATTTTTCATTCAATAAAAAATTCACAATAGAAAATGGTAGCTCTTAGGTCACTCGAGCAAAAATATTAGAAAAAAGTAGCAATTTTTGTCTTGTTTTCTCGCTCAAGTAAGAATACCCTCACTTAAGCAAGAATTCGTGAGAAAAAGGGGTATTTAAATGATTCTGTCCTTTTAAAAGCACATATCTCAAAGCAAGAAATCATTCTAATCTCATTCTCTATTCTCTCACTTCCCTTCCTCAAAGAAACTCTCTTGAACCCTGGATCTCTTGCGGATCTGAGCTATAATGTCCTTTTCTCTTGATTCTAAGTAAGTTTCTTAAAGTTCAATCTTTCAATCTCACTTCTATTTCTTTGTTTTCTCCTTTCTTAGAAGTACTCTACTTCATAATGTATAGGAAAAATTTAGTCTTTGAAATGTTACATCTCCCTCTCAATGCTAAAGAGATATTGGTCTTAGAGACACTATCTCACGTTTTTGGTACATGTGTATCAGACATTACATTTTACTTTTAGTTTCAAATTACTCAACTTTTATTTTTCTTTCAATTTTAGTTGTTTATTTCTTTCTATCCTTATTTTCAAATTTGATTTAATCTTGTGTGTATTTTTTTTTCCTCCTAATGTCAATTATTATGCTTTCTAAGTTCCTATGCTAAAGATATTACATGTATCATATGCTTCCATTTTCTGATACAAAGGATGTTATACCAATATCATGTTATAATGTGATATTGTAGGTCTTTGCTTAATCATGGTAAATAGGTTCACAATTTTTTTTAAAACAAATTAAATGCATGATTAATTTTTCTATTGTTATTAGAGGGTTATTGCCACTTTATATTGTATATTTTAAAAAATTTGGTCACTCATGTAGTCTCATTTTTTTTCTACGTTCCATTAATCTTTCATATAAATAAATTACAAAGTGTTACAAATTCAAACAAATTTCAAAAAGTGATTTTCATAGAAATATTAATCAAAATCTTCATGTCTAACATCAAATATACGAATATAATTATGCTAATATAAAAAAAAAGTCACAACCATGTAACTAGATAAATTTAGTCATCATAGTAATTGTCAAAAAGTAAAAAGGAAAAAGAAATATTTACAAATTAAGACATTCATAAATATGAAAAAAAATTATATTATGTTGTTTTGTTTCTTGTTACAACTATATTTCTGCTAGAAAATATTTTCAGTTCCTAGTATAATAGTTTATAGTGGACCACTCATTTGTATAAATATATTTTTCCATCACCTGTCGCAATATTTTATAGGAATGGTTATTCTTTCATATGAATTCATGGGAATAGAAATGGATGCATTTTGTTTTCTGGATAAAAGCTTTTAGAATTTAGAATACAAAATTTCATCATATGATTGTGCATCTAGATCTGATAGCATTGGTAGATCATCTTTTTTAAAATTAGTGATGTCTATAATTTATTGTTAAAGTAAGAAGACATTCAATAGATATACTTAGGTAGCATAGAAATTTTAAAATCAAATAATTCTATTCAACTTGAAATTTGAAAGTGAATAATATAAATTATAAAATTTGATATTTTTATATTGATATACCAAAATGTAATATATGTAAATATACTATCTTTATAAATGGATGAACAAAGAAACCTTGAATTGCATAGAGGGACTTCAAATGACTAATATTTACGTTGTATACATAGAGTGTATTACTGCATAATTAAATTCATCCTCAAAGTAAGAGAATAAATCATTCATTGACCTTGAAAGAAAGCATTTGAAAAAAGATAATTGAGTTAGAAGAGAAGTATTTCAAACAACTAGATGGGTCACATATTCCTGTAAAAATTCTTAGAAGTAGTCTGTTTAACCCTTTTTTTTAAGGTAAAATATATTTTTGTATAAAAATTTAAAATATGTATGATAAAATATATATTTGTAACAAAATGGTAGTGCTAGGATTGTGTTGGAGCAATTGATTGTACACATGTCTGTGTAAAAGTGTCATTAACAGTTGCAAAATATCGTGGTAGAAAATATTTTTTAACCTAAAATGTATTGGTTACGTGTTTATTTGACCTAAAATTTACTTCTATTTTGCCTAAATGAGAGGATACTGCATTTGATTCAAGAAATATTAAAAGACACTACATAAAACAAACTATCTTAAAATACCTAGAGGTAATTAATTTCTTTTTCTTCTCTCAATATATACATATGTGTTAGTAATAATATTCTTTTTTAGGTAAATATTATATTCTTGATGCTAGATTTATGTTGAAAAAGAAACCAATTATACCATTTAGATCAACTCGTTATCATTTGAAAGAATTATATCCTAAAAATCTACCTTGCACATCTTAAGATAGGATCTTTAAGTAACAAACCAATATAACAATTGAGCTATAACAACTTGATAAAATCAAGTTTATGTTAACATTCCTACATGCCCCTGTAAGATAGAGGTAGCTTCAACGTCTCCAATCTTGGTTTCGAGAAAGTTGTGTCGTGAAGAGGAAAGAGGCTTGGTTAGTAAGTCTGCAAGTTGATGACTAGTGGACATATGAGAAATATGCAGTTTTTTTTCAGCTACCAAATCTCTAACAAAATGATAGTTTATGGCCAAATGCTTCATTCTAGACTGGAATATAGAGTTGTCACATGCATATGTGGCTCCTATTTGTCTGAAGATATTGTTGGAGCAGTGATAAGTATACCAAGCTCTTAAAAAAGTTGTTGTAACCAGAGTAATTCTGCAATAGTATTGGCAATTGTTCGACACTCAGTTTCAGTGGAAGATTGTGCAAATGTTGGTTGCTTTTTACATGACCATGAAACCAAATTTGAATCAAAATAGATTAAGTAGGCTCTCGTGGATTTCCTGTCTTG